ATCACAGTTACTGACAGCTAGTTCAAAGCCAATAACAACTAATTAAAAAAATCATGTATCTAAGACTACCGTATCAATCAGTACACATCCAACATCCAATGGATTTAATGTAAAGACGTAATTAACAGTCAGAGAAAAACAGGACTTTGCGCAATGCCAAAATACAAGTATCGACAGATTGTAGAACCATTGAATGTGCATATGTATATGAATATAACAATTATATTAGTTTGGTTTAAATTTACTTATAACAAAAATCAATATTTATATCAATAAAAACGATATTTAAATATCTAATTACAGTGTTGAATTGGTAACCTTTTAGAATATGTTTATTTGAAAGATCGTTTAATTACCTATCGTATCTAAATTTCCGGGCTTCGTAAACAACATCTCTGTAAAAATTAGGATGTGCTTTCCCGTTAAAAATAAGGTAAAGCCAAACTTACAAACCAAATCTTTGTATCCACGGAAAAATTAGTAATCAGCGTTTTTTTTTCTGGATTTACCTCCATCAGGCACGCTCAAACCTTTTAAAACATTTAAAAAACAAGGATGCGTATAAACGCTACAATGTTAGGAGCTATGTGACAAAAACTTGAACCTCAACAGAATTTCAAAATTCATATAAGATCAACTTTGCCTGAGGGACTTTCATCCTTACTTTCTTAATTTATGAAGGGGAATTTTAAGTATATGTTATATGTCATGCAAGTATCTAAAGCACTGAATACTGAACTGATGATATCCTTATAGAATAATATTGATATCTGTCCTATTTATACCTAAATATTAGAATTTCTCAAAATAATCATGCAACACCAAAAGTTATGACAAAGGGAAAGATTTCTCTAGATTGCTTTGTTGTTATCTTGCTATATATATATGGTTTGCACTTTGAACTGATGATTGAAAAAAATATAAATAAATATGAAGGAAGAGAAGTGGTCTACACCTTAACCTAACAATATTCATAACCAACAGACATCTAGTATCAATAATGTACGATGGACGAGTTAAATACACGTTTGGGAATATACCGGTCTTGCTATATAGATACCATTTGAGCTAAGTGGGTTGTTTTTCTCGTTTGGTTGCATAGTGTGTATAAATAAACAGCTGTGGAGCATCGGGGACCTTGACGTCTAGATACATAGTTGAAAACAAAACGCTACTTCCATTAGAAATTTTCTTTATCGAATCACTATGACAGTCGTTGCCAGTTGTTCCCATAAAAATATTGAAAAGAATATTGGTATTGGACTTGAATGTAAGTTTTACTATCGGTGTATGATGTTATATTACTACTGCACTATTTTCCGATTCTTTCTTTGGCAGAGATTATGCCAGGCATTTGGTCAAGGTAACAAATATACTGACATGAAATAAAACCTCATTATAAAAGTATTAACACGAAATACCAAACTCCAAGGAAATGCAATAAGGGGGACAAAATCAAACGTTTGACTATATCAACCAACGGAACAAATGGAAAACGGCATATTCCTAACTTGGTACAGGCGTTTTACGAAGAAACAAGAACATTATATTAGTTCGGTTGAAATATGCAACTGAATAGTGAACAAGTCATTCTTGGAAAGTTCGAAGAAAGCACCACTCATACTATAAAATTGTTGTTCAGAATATCAATCAGCTCTTTGTTTCTCTTCGATTAATTGATAAATAGCTATTTTCTTTTTTAAAAATGATTGACATAAACTGATTTATAAAACTCAGTATTGAGATGTCAATTTCCCTCTACATTAATTACATAGATTACATTAAAAACCAGCAGACATCTAGTTTCTGTTATGTACGGTGGATGAGTTACATGCTTGGGATTATGCCAGGCTGGCTTTCAAAATGCCCTGCTCAGCCAATTAGATCAGGAGTGTCCTTTAAAAGCAGTGTGTGTTATAAACAGTTGTGGAGCATCGGGGACTCTGATTTCTGGATTCGTACTTGGAAATAAAATGCACCTTCATTCGACATATTGTTTACTAAATCAAGACTATGACCGTCGGTAGGCAGTTGTGACATTGAGAATTATTGAAGATATGTTATCGTGTTTGATGAAATGGCTGTCAGTCTAGATATGACATATATCATATTTGTCATTGGTTTTTTTTTTTTTTTTTATTTTTACTTTCGTTATATGATGTTATATTACTGCATGATTTTCCGATTCTTTTTTTGGCAGAGCGGATTATGCGAGGCAATTGGTCAGGTTACAAACACTGACATGAAACAAATCTCAGTATATTAGTTTAGTTTGAGAACTATGCAACTATAAAGTGGACAAGTCATACTTCAAAAGTTTGAAGAAGTACCATTCAAAATGTAAAATCATCGTTCAGAATATCAATCACCTCTTTTTTTCTCTTCGAATAATTGCTTAATAGTTATTTACTTTCTTAAAAATGGTTTGACATAAACGGATTTATGAAATTCAGTATTGAGATTCAATTTCCCTTTACATTAATCACAAAAGTTTGCATGTTTTGTTCTCCATTCTTCTGATATTTGAATTATAATCTTTACTTCTATACAATTTGAAAGATGTAATGTGATTTGTATAACATTTTATTCAATTAAGTTCCTCTTTTATTCTTTTATATCTCAAGTTTTCTTAATGAGATGTCATTCGGGATCGACCATTTCCAAAGCAAATCAATTCTTAACTTTAATGGTAAAAAGAGGTGCTTAGAATAATGTTCTCAATAGTGAATTAAGACATTCCGACATGATACGGTCCTTGTTTAAACTTTATCACATTACCTGGTTTTACAACCATTATACTTTTTTTTATACTAATATAAAAATATGGAGATGTGGTATGATTGCCAATGAGACAGCTATCAAGCAGAGTCCACATTACGTGAATTTAAGCAACTTTAGAGCACCATACGGTCTTCAACATTGAGCAACACCAATATCAGCTACAAAAGGTCCAGATATGACAAAATGTGAAACAATTCAAACGGAAAACCAATGGCCTGATTAATAACCAAACAATTAACAAAATTCAAATATGACAGAAATGAACCAACGACTGAACATTGTAAATTTTGATGACAGTAGAAAATAATTAAGAGACATTTTTCAACAAAAACTCTCAAAAGATTATATCTGTACATGACTTCCAAGTAATTTGGTGTTTACTATTAGAAAGTGGAATGAGCTTGAATTGTACAATTTACTTTACAAAAGGGCAGAGTAGTTAATAAAACTTTGTCAAAGATTTTTTTTAATTCTATAAAACAAGATAGGTAAAACTTATAAAATGAATATACATGTGCAGTAAAACGAATTTCGCTACCACAAATTACTTAATACCTTTAATAAATTTTTTCATAGATACAAAGATTTGGTTTGGAGGTTTGGCTGTTCCTGTAGAAAACTTATTTCAAACGAATAGCAGATCCTAAATTTTACGGTGATGTTGTTTACCGAGCCCGGAAATTTAAATACGATCCGGGTAAACTTATCAATCCTTTAAATAAACTTATTCTAAAAGGTTACCAGTTCAACACTTTAATTAGATCTTTGAATATTCTTTTATTGGTATAAATATTGATTTGTTATCAGTAAACTAAAACCATACTAAATATTATAGTTAAACACATATGCACATTCATGGCTCTACAATCTGTGGATACCTATATTTTGGCATTGCACAAGATCATGTTTTTCTCTGACTGTTAATGACGTCTTTACACTAAATCCATTGGATGCTTGATATGTACTGATTGACATTTTAGTCTTAGATACATGATTTTTTTAATTAGTTATTATTGGCTTTGAACTAGCAATCAGTAACTGCGAGTACTCTCAGATCTGTACTTTGTGTCTTTTTTGTTGTGAGGGATGTATAAATTCTCTGCTACATCTGGTCTGTGTTTCTCTTAGATGTTTTTCTGCTTTGTATCGATCAGAGGAGTTAAGCCCTTTTCAACTGATTTTTATAATTTGTTCTTATGTTGTACTTTTACACCACTGTCCCAGGTTAGAGGAGGGTTGGCGCCTTCAAACATCTTTAATCCTGTCACATTCTTTATGCTCATGTCCCCAAGTCTGAAGTCTGTAGTTAAGTGGTTGCAATTTGTTCTTGTCTATCATCATATTTCGTAAATTGTTCTGTCATGAATTATGCCGTTAGTTTTTCTCAATTGAATTGTTTCATATTTTTCATGTTGGAACCTTTTATTGCCGACTATACGGTATGGGCTTTTCTCATTGTTGTAGGGCAATCGGTTGCCTATAATAGCTTACATCAACTTCATTTGAACTTTGGTGGATAGTTATCTCATAGGCATTTATACCACATCTCCTTATTTTTATATCCTATATGGCAATATTATGTAGACTTTGAAGAACAAAGAATGCAAATTTTGTGTCACACCTTAGATTGTAGGGGTCATTAAGTTTTCTGGTCTGTGCATTCATTCCTGCGTTTGCATTTACCATAGCAGGTTAAAGTTTGGTTTAAGGTAGATTACCTTAAAGTTGTAGTCACATGAACTTGAAACTTGGTTCTAATGTTCATTATTATAAAAACTGTTTAACTTATTTGCCAAAATTCGGTTTTTATCCCTATTTCGTGAAATATGGAAATGTGATAATATGAAATCAGTGCATTTTCATGTTAAAGTTTTGGTTAAGGTAGTTGACCATGCATTTGTGATAACAGTAACTTGAAAATTAATACACATATTTATTATAATGTTAACCATTTTAAATTTTATGCCAATTTTGGGTTTTGACCTAGATTTAGTGGTTCACTATTTATTTATTTTATATAAGTATTTATAAAATAAGACCAGTAGAGCAAGTTATACTAAGGACACATTTTTAGGACACATCCTTGTTTATCTTTAGTTTGTCCACATTGAGGACACAGATTTCAGCAAACTATTAAACCGAGCAGGCTGCACTAAGACTTTAAATGACAACTGAATAACTCTCTTAAAATAATCTCTTCACATAATATGAGTCAAATATTGTTTTTTATAAATGATTTATTAAAACAATATACATACATGTATATATAAATAATTCAATAAGTGTTTGTAAAGTTTCAGGACGGAATGTTGATATGTACATCACAGTTAAACAATGTTCATTTAAACAGAGGCGTCCATCCTAAAGATCCCGGACTCTGAAAATAAAGCAATTCATAACAATTAATTAAATAAAGTGCAAATTTTATCTCCTTTAAATAATATTTATAATTGATTTTTTATGCAGGGTATTAAACAGATGTTGGGGTTAAATAAAATAAGTACTGGAAAACTAAGTATCTAGAAATACCAAAAAATTTAAACAACTTGAATGGTTGATTTCCCTTATTTTTTTATGTGACAGAACTCTTTTTCCCTCTTCACTCATTCTAAAATAAACCTCCATCAATCATATATGGCCTTTGCCAGTTTTTTCCCTCTGCATAAGTATTTTGGTATAAATTGTTTTCATTAATTTTGCAATTCTTAAATTTTGATATATAGTTTAATATATTATTAGTGTTAAACACATAAACACTGGTGGTTTGCAGACAATCAATCTTGCTAATGTCTTTTTATTAGAAAGAGATAAGAGTAGGCAAGTTAAATCCTCCAACATACAGCTCACGAGAAATGCATCCTTCAACAAACCTGACTCTTCATTGTGATGTTGGTTGGATATATTTTTAATGTAATCTGAAGACATCATTATTAAGTATAAGTGTACCAGTTCTCACTACATGTTGAATGATAAAAACAAGTCTTGCTTTGAGAAAGTTGAAACAAAGCTACTCTTTTAGGTTCCTAAGGTATTTTTTTACCATGTTATACTGATATAATGTGATATATAGTATTTCAAGAGACAAAACTCTAACTATTATTTGAACATTTCAATACCAACCACATGATAAGAGAAATGACCACTAGTGTTTGAAACTTTGAGTAGTTTTGATGCAGATTCAATCCTCGTCAATTTCAAACTTGTTCTTTGTTTATCCAAAAATCTTCAACTTCCAAAAATTATGATTGTTTGACTTTTAGATCACAAGGGTATTAATCATTACTTATTATCAAATTATCAAATGCTTCAGCACTGGTAAAAACTTACTACAAAATAATGATGAATTTTCCGTCAATATATTTCACATTTTTTATAAGACTTAAGGGTCAACTCAACTGCATCCAATATCTAACTACAGATCCTAATTACATGCTAAAAGATTTTATATTTATAGGTAAGGATGAACAATGGTTAAGTGTGTTAATGGATTGAACCTCCATCAAGCATAGATAACCTAAAATAATTTATGCTATTATCTTTAGCACCTTTTAAAACTATATACATATCAAATAAGGTCAATTGTATCGACACTGACATATTTCCCTACTTGAATCAAATATAAGTCTATATGTCTATTGATAGAATAAAAATTGAATTTTAGTCTGGTAGAAAATATTATTAAGAGGTGATATATGATACATAAAATTCCAATCTTCTATGATGGTATACTAATATTAAGAAATAAAAGAAGTCACTCCACATAAAAAAATTAATTTCTAATTAAACATAAAAAATATCAATTTCCACACTTGAAAGAAATCAATAGTATTCTTTGTAATACTGATTCTGAGGAAATTTAAAAGAAAAAAAATTAATCTTTTTCCATTGGTCTTTAATGGATAGTTGACCATTGGCAATCATACTACATCTCCTTACTTTTTATATTATAAGGGCTTTATCTGAAATGATTGGTATTGTGTGTGTTCTCTGAATATCTCATGTCATGACTAAAAGGAGAAGCATTTCATACTTCCAGAACTATTTAGATTATCTAGGCAAGATCATTAACAGGGGTTGCCATTTTCCCAAAAGTTTGTTGTCTATTTATTAATAGGATGGAGTTGATGGTGATCTCTGATTAGTCACTGTTGGATAAACTTAACAACTAAATAAATGTCTGTAAACCTCTTATCTGTTTTTATTGTGTCGTTTTTGTGTTATTGTCTCGTGAATAATTACCCTATATCTCCATTGACTCATATTTTTTCACCTATTAGTAAGTTTATAAATAGATAATTGCAGTTAATCTGGTCTTCAAATGGCTGTATTGCAAGTACAAAAGGGTCAAAATTATGGTTATAAAAAAAATGTGGAAAATTCTATATCCAAAGATATTAAAGTTACAACAAAACAATATTACAATAGCGTTTTCATTAGAATTACTGCATTCCACTGTAAAATAATTTTTGACAACAACAAAAACTATGACACATTAATTCTGAATTTGTCATAATTTCGTCTGCATGTGTAGGATGTTATTATCAATTATGCAAACATTGTTAAAAATATTAAGCATTTTTATTTTAAATTGCAGGCAAGTAGTAATATATTTTCACACTTTTCTATGAAGTCAATTATAAATCAATATTTAATTTGATTTATGAAAATGGTGTTGACTGATTCTCTTAAGTATGGTAATATTAAAAAAAAAATGTTTAATATTCATGCAATAAATAATTGCAAAAAAATGTTATATAAAGAAAGATGGCTCCTATTCTATAAGTTTCAGATTAGTACCACTTAAAAATTATACAAAAAATGTCATTGTCACTACTTGTTAAATTTGAATGTGTTGCATTTTTGAGTTTCCTTTTGTGTGGCCTTTTGTTAAATCAATTTAACAATTTGTAATTTTGGTTAAATCAATCAAACAATGTCAGTCAACCTTTAAAACATCTCTTGAACAGTCATATAAATATCAAGGTTGTAACAAATCAATGACTAAACTTTCAGGATCTGCTTAACCTTCCGGAGCACCTGAGATCATCCCTGGTTTTTGGTGAGGTTCATGTTGCTTAGTCTGAATATCCCTTTAGTATCTTTTGCCTCTCTTTTTCAGTATACTAAAAGGGTACTTCTCGAATAAGCTCTTAAGATGCAAAAGAGGTTGATGTTTCTTCCAATTCAATATTAATAACTTTAAAATAATTGTTACAGAAAGTTTACAATTTAATATTTGGGAAGTATGTATATTGTAGTAAGCAGAGATATTAAAGCTTATATAAGTGTTAAACAGAATCATCATTTATTGAGAAGCTTTGTGTAAACCTTAATATTGAAGACAACTGATTTTTAACAACAATTCAACCGATATCTACAGCATTGAAGTATTGCAAATCTATACCTGTATGATGCCTATTCATGCACTAAAAATTCTATATATATTTCAAACAATAATATATATTCTGAATTCTTTGCAAAATAACTGAAGTGATTTGGATTAACAGCAAGTGTGAACAGTTGAATTTACCACAAAAAAAGTATTGGGAAAAGACGTAAGTTTCATTGTATAAATATAGCAAGTTTAATATAGCTTTATATAAAAATAAGAGGATGTGGTATGATTGCCAATGAGACAACTCTCCACCAGATACCAAATGACATAGAATTTAACACTTATAGGTCACCTTACAGCCTTCAGCAATGAGCAAAACCCATACCACACAGCAAGCTTTAAAAAAACCCAAAATGACAAATGTAAAACAATTCAAACGAGAAAACTTGTATCTATGTATGTTCACTATAGAAAACCTATATGTGTACAGTTTGTACAGAAAACCCATTTTGGTATAGCTGCCTTTTGAAATTTTCTATATTGAATTGATAAACACTGGAGAGTACTAAGCTTTATATGATAGCATGTGCAAAATATATATTCCACATAAAAATGCATGTACATATATAATTGAGAGGTGATTACAGCAAATCAATAAAACAAAAGAGCTTTTATGTATATTAAAAAAATGTTTAAGCCCAGTTTTAGGATTTGTGTAGTTGTTGGATTGTACAACAGTGTAGCAACTATGGTAATAAAACAAACAGCTAAACTTTGTAATTGTAATTATGTATCTTATTTCATCTAAACTTGGTTGAATGATTTCATGATTACTTTAAACATTTTCGTTAAAAAATTATGACAATTTTTTCTTAAATCTAATTTGTTGATGTAGTAGTAGCTCAAATGTTTTAATTTGTCAAAATTGAAATTGATTTATATTTTCTCTTGCATTCTCAAATTTTTTTTTTTTTTTCACTTTACTAAGTCTCAATAAAATTTTGTCATCTTTTTTTTTTGTCAGAAATAAATTAACTGACACTTAAATATCCTTTTATCTTATTCATATCTTCTCAAATATTATAGAAAAGAAGGTCCGAGGACACAGATATCGTCCTTCGATTTTCGTTGTCTACAAATATAATCCTTAGTGTGGACAGTGTATAACTTCAAATTTTTTTCATACACTTTCCAAATTTATTTTTTTTATATTTTATGCATGAAATATTAAGTAAGGGGATGAAATTACATGTTAAAAAAATTTGGGTGCTGAATCTTTATGTTAAGTAGTGATTTGGTCCAGTTAAAAAAGGTCAAAAATTAGTACCTCTGAAGCTGTCAAACTGAATTTTAGACCCCCTTATCATAGAATTGTCAATATTTTGAGTTAGAGCTGGTAGACTTTTCTATAATTTTGATATTATTTGTCCCAATAGTAGTACACTACACTGTAAAAATCTTTTTGAGATAGAGCAGGTGCGATTTTTTTAAATCAACTTTATTGTCTAAAAGAAATGCACTACGAAATAACTGTGTTCTCGGGCCAGGAAGGGTATTGGGTATCCATTCATGACACAAAATCAGTATATGCAAAGCAAAGGAACAGCGCTTATATTGCTGTTCTTCAAATGCATTTTTCATCACACATATCTATAATATAAAAGGAAGAAATATGCTAAAATTGCATGAAAACTTCTGGCGGAGCAAACTGAAGATATAGTTTAGATTGTGTTTGTTGTTCTTGCATTTGCACATATCTACTCTTACAGCCATAATCTTTCTTCAAGTCTATTTGCAAAAAAAATATTTATTTTTCTAATATTCCAAAACATTCACACCTCTTATGTTTTAAAAAATATACAAAAAGCTCTCATGTTATTTAAAATATAAGCACATATATAAATATACATAAGCAAAAATATTTAGCAGGTGAATAATATTATAAAGCAGTCAGAACATTTTTAAACAATAATATATCATTTTCTTTATATTGCTTGCAAACTATAAATTGAGAAATGAGAACTGAAAATGTCTAGGAAACCAGAAATTAAATTTGTTTCTCTTTAGTTCTACAAAAAATAAGGCTAATACATCTTTAGAAGAAAACCCACTCTGGATCATATAAATTAACCAAGATCCATTTTTATGAACTTGTTTATTTTAAAAAATGTTCTCTCTGCCGATTGTATTGGCACATTATACGTCGTGTAAAAATTAATATTTAATAAGCATTTTCAATTAAGAGATCTAGCTAGCAGCATCTGAAAGAAGAAATCTCACCACTGTTTTCTTTCTATGACTGAAATTGCAATCAGGATTAATACAACTAGATGAAAATAAAAACAAAACACATTAGATTCATCTGGTATAAATTCTAATTTAGAAGTTATATATGTATTCCTCATAATGCAGTTGTCAATATCAAAAATAATGGATTTAAAATAGTATTTAACAATCTAAAACTTCTGTATTGAATAAAAATTATAATAAATCAATGTGAAAAAAAAATAGTTATGAATAAAATAAAGCATTTATTTCAGTGAATATGATCTTAATTGATCTAAAACATTAAACGTTGAGAAATTAGTTTTCTAAATTAGTTTTAACCAAGAGCTCTATTCGATCAAGATAGTAAATCTAATATTTTGTTTAAAATTATCTTAAATAAGAATCTAAATTCAACATGATAAATTAGCAATCACTAATTTTTCAAACAAATATTTTTAAAAGTATAGTTCATCATTAAATTCATGCTTAAAAACATTTACAAATACAATATAAAAGCAATAAAAGTAGAAAAATTATTCGTTTTAACACAATATATATGAACACTTAGATGAATATTATCATATCATATGTACATTATTATTATATAGAAACAACAATCTATGTGTATAAAGTTATTCATTTCTAGTAAAATTCATGCATTATATATATTTAAAGTGTTCCTAAAATAAAATATTTGCTGGCTTGAATAATTAAGAATCTCAAATGCACAATTCCTAAATCTGTCGCATTCCATGCCATGAAAAATGACAGATATCGATAAACAAGGGCATTGTCATAATTTTAATTTTTTTTATTGCCTTGTTTTTCAATTCCTTTGTGTATAGTCTTTATGATTTCCAAAACTGTGAGTGTGATAAAAAATTTTAATTTCCTACTTTAAATTGCATAAAAGGAATTATTCTCATATGTTTAGGCAGATTAAGTAGTATGAAGTGTTAATGAAAAAAATTTAACTAGTTTTTCATTTAAAATGCTCTTTCCTTGGCAAATCAGAATTTTGTTGAAGATTCACAAGACAAAATCTTTTTTTAAGTAGATCAGGTGTCTTCTGCCACCTTGGATTGTAAAATAGCAGAAAACAATCGGTCTAAATCTTTTATGAAGTTTGCAAATTTAGAGAGAGGAATGTAATTCATTTGTAAGACTTCTCATCTATGGGAGATAACTCAGATAATGTAACTTTTATAAAGGAATGTGCCATGTGTGGGGTTCAAACTTACAATCTCAGTGTTGACAGCTTATGATACTGAAAATAAACTACTTAGACCACTCCATCACTGAGGCCCCTTTTTAGTGCAGTTCATACTATCAACCTCTAGTTACATACGTTATCTTTAATTATAAAAATAAGAAGATGTGGTATAATTGCCAATGAGACAACTTTACACCAGAGACCAAATGACATAGAAGTTAACAACTATAGGTCACTGTATGGCCTTCAACAATGAGCAAAACCCATTTTTTAGCATGTTATTACAAATGAAGAGGTTTAAGATGTAGGTCTAATTATATCAGTTTCAAAATTATCTGTAAACAACACATAAGGCCTTCATCAATTTCAAACCTATGAACTCAGAACATGCAAACTTAGAAACATTAGAAACATTAACATGAATTAGGTACTGACAGTTACTTTTCTGGATAAAATTTTGAGGATTGTAAATTATTTTTCTTTGTTGTAATCCCTCCCAACAACTACCTTTTTCTCAAAAAAAAATCAATTCAATCATTTATTGTTTCTGCATTGTATCTTCAAATTCCCCTCAATAGTAAACTTTATTATCCACTTAATTGGGTCAAGAAATTATAAATTACCTTTAACATTTGGGAAAGAAAACTGTTTCTAATTGGAACTGATTTATTTAAATGAGAAGTCATTTTCGAAGGGGTAGAAGGGGGTTGAACTTGACATCCCAAATTCCTGTAAAAATAAAAGCTGAATCCTGAATTTCTGAAAATAAACCATTCTTTCTGGATCCTGAAAAATTAATCATTAATTCCTGAATCCTGATAAGTGAAATCCCGAATTCCTGCAATAAAAAAAAGTCCCAATCCTGAGGTCCCAATAAAGCCATTCTGCCCCTCATTTAACAGAAAAATATTTGTATAAAGAACAAACTAATGGTCAGTCTCGTGAAGAGGATCCATAGGACCATAAAAAAAATGTTTACTATGTTTGTTTTTGGTTGATAGTACACAAATACTAAAAAATTCTAAGCTAGAGATGTAAATGCCAGCACCAAAAACAACTACCCCTATAAAAGATGCAATACATATATATATATACAAGCAGAAAAAAATCTTCTTCAAATTACCTTTACGTCAAACACTCGAACACGTTGGAATTCCTATAGTGAAAACATTTTGATATACAAAAGTAACATATCCTAAGATAGAATACAAATACGTATAACATAGTCCTGTACACTAGCTTCTTCTAATAGCTTCTAATGGATCTATTACTTGATACATTCAACTTGAATGGGATAGTTTTAATGGCTATGTAACTTATCTTTTTCTATCTAAGAAATGTACAATGTACTTAAAACAAGCGTTCAGTACCAGTTAGTTTGAAATATACTAGACAATTAAAATTGTGCAATTCTTATTTTATTGTAGTAATAAAGGTTGTTTTGAAAGAGTTTTTATTGACATGTAAAATTGACCGACTCAAACTTTCAGAATATAAGTTTTTGATTGAATAGGCCAATTTTTGACATCTATAAGTATAAACTTATTATTATACTCATAGTTTGAAATATACTAGACAATTAAAATTGTGCAATTCTTATTTTATTGTAGTAATAAAGGTTGTTTTGAAAGAGTTTTTATTGACATGTAAAATCGACCGACTCAAACTTTCGGAATATAAGTTTTTGATTGAATAGGCCAATTTTTGACATCTATAAGTATAAACTTATTATTATACTCATAGTTTGATATATACTAGACAATTAAAATTGTGCAATTCTTATTTTATTGTAGTAATAAAGGTTGTTTTGAAATTTTTTTTAATTGACATGTAAAATCAACCGACTCAAACTTTCAGAATATAAGTTTTTGATTGAATAGGCCAATTTTTGACATCTATAAGTAAACTCCATAAAATGACTTTAATTACTTCTAAATTAAATAAATTGCATTAAAATTATGTTCAGATAAATATTTCATCAGCACTTACAAAACTGTTTCCCCCATGAAGAATTGATATATGTCACAATATGAAGCAGGACTTAACCATAAATCTCATCCACTTATTATTCTTTATGAAAAAGAATGTTACGAACTGCATGGCCATTAAAGTTCAACCCAATCAGAAGAAAAATGTAACAGTACAATAAATAATACACAGCAATTGAGTAATTGCAAGCTACTGACAAAATTTATGAAATAATGCATTAAAATCTGTAAGGAAATGAAAAAGGAAATTACTTCCTAAACAGCTTTTCTTCAAAAGTAATGCAAAATACTCAATCATAGTTAAGAAACTTTTTCTGTGTAAGCTGTCTGACACTTATCACTATGGTAATATATTTTTTTTTTAATCTGGTACTTTATTTGCTGTGTTGAATCTTACTTCTTTACTTAGTTAATAACAAAAACATTTTAAATACAAACCTTCAAATGTCTGAAGTTCTCTGAACAAAGTATTGTTAAACAAGTCAAGGAATTAATGAAAGAAATACGGAATGGAACAATGGGACAAACACTTTGTGCATTAATCAGCAAATTGCAATGCCAAGGTTACAGAAAAACAACAAATTTCTACATGTTAGTGACATTTCTGGGAAGGAAGCAATATTTACATCTTAACTTATAATGCTGTTAACTGAATTTCTTGCAACTGGTTAATTCTTCTTAAATTTCATAGAGACCCATTCCAAATAAATATGCTGATGAAAACAAAATTTGCTTACATTGTTCTCAGGAAAATGTTAAAGGCCTTATAGTACCCTATAGTCTTTCTATGTTGTGATGTTACACTATTGTTTCAGGTACGGTGAAGGCTGGCGCCTATTAAAACATTTAAACCGCTGCATTTGTTTGCACCTGTCCTAAATAAGTCAGGAACCTGATGTTCAGTGGTTGTCATTTGTTGATATGGTTCATAAGTGTTTCTCGTTTCTCATTTTTAATATAGATTAGACCGTTGGTTTTCCTGTTTGAATGGTTTTACACTTGTCATTCTTGGGGCCCTTTATAGCTTGCTGTTTGGTGTGAGCCAAGGCTCCATGTTGAAGGCCGTACTTTGACCTATAATGGTTTACTTTTACAAATTGTGACTTGGATGGAGAGTTGTCTCATTGGCACTCATACCACATCTTCTTATATCTATTTACATCCTCGTCCTGTAGTTTCTGGTTAATTATTAGTTGTCAGATAAGCAAACATACCACATCTCCTTATTTTAATAACACAATATTTAAGGTTCCTTGTAGAGAAAACTAGTTAAACAAAGTTAGATCCATTAGAATATTGATTTCAATACCTTAAATTATTTAAATATTTGTGAATAAAATTCAAATTGAATAGACCAGTTTCAAGAAAATTGGTAAACAGCTGTACAAAATTGATTAACAGCTGTACCAAATTGGTTAACAGCTGTTAATCAGCATCAAATTGATTAACAGCTGTTTATCTGTACAAAATTGGTTAATAGCTTTTATTGGTAAAAAGCTGTACAAATTGGTTAACAGTTGTATAAGTTTAGTTGTAACTTAATGTATCCATAAATGCGTTTTAAACTTACATAGACATCTCTTTCTTCTGCCTTCCTTGCAGCTTGTTCTTTGTACTGTAAAATTGTCCAGATTTCTTCCTTAAAACAATTCCATCTTTCCTGCATTCTATCTTTTCTTAATGCCTGCATTGCAATCCTTTTTGCAAATAAAAAGTTTATTAAGTTCAATAGAATATGTTTTAAGGGTCCTTGAATGGTAAACAGAAAATTTAATGAAAATACCATAACAAAATAGTGTTTCAGAAAAGTTTTGTATGACTGTATAATTACAGAACTGTGAGCTTTTGATCACTACTGATGCCCCTGGTATAAGTTTTCTTGGGTAAACAGCAAGTTGATGAGCCATGGATGTGAAAACAAATTACATGGTATAGCATGGTACCTAGAATATTGCTACCAAATTTCAGGACACTCCTATTTGTAGTTTCTAAGAAACATGAAGCCTGATGACAAGAAGGTGTGATGTGTAGTTCCTTTTGGAGAAGGAATATAAAATACAGTAATCTAACATCATCAACATACAAGTTCATACACTGATCACACACACTCAGTGAGTTTGGATATTTGAAATAATAAATTTTGTTTATATTTGTCAATGATCTTCTGTTTTTACTGCTATATATACATATGGAAAATTTCAATGTTAAAATTGATTTTAACAAGAAGTTGCATGCTAAGCAAACCTCAAGTCTTAATTTAAAGTACATGTATTGGTAGACAAGAAAAACAGGAAGCAGCTGTCTGAAACATTCACAAATAATTCACACTTAAAACCAAGGTTTCAACTCCCTCAGGCAAAGTTGACTGTAGATGGATTTGGCTATTCTTTTTTGGTCTTTTTTGGTTATATAACTCTTCAACTGTTTCGGTTCTTATACATCATTGGCTTTCAAATATTCGGCTTTGAGCGTTCCTGATGAAGGTAAATTCAGAAAAGAGCTTCAGACACAAGAAATTTACAACGTGTTGTTTTAATTTTTTACAATTCATCACTGTCAAGCAGCTGACCAAAGTTATTGCCTGAGATAAGTGCTCACAAGCCCCCTGCCAAGTCGTATTACCCAAAAAATTAAAAACTGGATTTTTCTGTCAGAAAACTCAGTTTAAAAAATTAATTTTCAGATTCAACCACTGTTTCTGTTATGATACCATTTATCCCTGCTTTCAATAGATGAATTTCATAATTCAAATTCATCCTGAACATGCATGAAATATTTGCCATTGGATGTTTAGAAATCAACAATTAATCAATCAAAATTCAAATGTAAGTCAAGTTCATATGTTCCCTTTGAATAAATCTATACAACATTGATTTCTTATACCAATAATTCATGTTTAAAAGTTTGAAATTTAATAGTCTCACGTAGAGAAATGTGGAATCTTGATATACTGGAAGAATATATCTATAAATACATGTTTATAATTACCTTTCCTTCATAAGAGCATCAACCCTTTTATCTACAGTTGTATGGACAGACAGTGGAATAGAATCCCTTTTTCTGTTAAAGAAAGTCTCCAATGTATTAAATGTATTTAATGGATACACTAACACTGTTCCCTGTGGGGTACTGGCATCTGTTGTTGTTTCATCTGTTTCTGCTGGTTCCCTCTCTATCACTGTCAAAATCAAAGTTATAACATACATTAAGTTCTATTTTTTATTTGACCACTCAAAATGAATTTATCCAGTTGTTTTATTTCAAAAAAGATATCTCCCTTTTAGTTTTGTATATTTTTTTGGTTAAAGAAACATCTATATTTCCTAACAACAAAATATAAACCAGAAAACTGTGTATACTTATATCTTATTTAAGAACATACATGGACATGGACTTTCAAGACATTTGGTCAAAATAGGCAAAGGGGGCAATTCATGTACAACTGGTTTAAATTACCACAATTAATTTCTGTGTGGAGGCAGACTATATCAACCATGTGCTGTTCATTGTTACTTTCTTTGGGGTTTTTTTTCAGGAGTCAGACAGTCAAGGTTGGTGTGGTCTGTTATACTGTCATTTTTTTTTAGACTTTCCTATTTTCCTTTTTATCTATTATGGAATATAATATAGAATTTTAACCTATTTATATTGTACTCCTGTCAAGTCTGAACAAAATTTTTGGTTTCAAAAAGCATTGGTTCAAACAGATTTCACTGCAACAGAAACTGATTAGAAAGTTACTTTACCTCTCAAATATAAAGTCTGTCCTGTGTTACCAATTGCAACAACAGGATCCCAGGGAGACATTATTTCATGGGTGTCGGGAACTTTCATTTCACATAAAACTTTTCCTTGAAGTACATCTCTGATCTGTACATTTCCATTCTGTAATACTGTAAGTATCTAAAAGATAAAATAAGATAAACTGGTAAAATTTCTAAAACATTTTTTTTTTAATTAGACAAGTTGAGTGTTAGATCTCAAGCCAATGCACAGTGATTCACATTTATTTCAGACATGAAACCCAAGAAAGTCTTATCGTTTCAAAATAGACTATCATGATTCAGATTTAGTTCAGACATGAAACCCAAAGTCTTATTGTTTCAAAATAGACTATCAGAAATAGACTATCAGAGCAATTAAATATTCCAGACTTCCATATATAGTTACTACTTCTGAATTCTTATTTGCAGCAATGCTTATATATTTGTGCACAGAAAAAGCAATAACAGGTCAAATTGTAGTGATACAAAAAGGAATGTGACCTTTGTACTTTGACTCTTATTCTTATGAAATGCCAACCAACATATCCACCCCAATAATCTCAATAAAATATTGACAATCCCATACCATTATCAAGACATTTTTTTCTTCTTCATTAGAATAAAAAATAATCTTCTTTTTGCAAAAAACACATGTGGTTTGATTATTTGTTTTTCTGAAAGCTTCAACAATATGAACAGTCTTTTTTTAATGTAATGATGTTTTAGTAGCTAACTAAGTGCCTGGTAGCAAAAAACCATTATTCTTCCCCATAAGTGAAATATTTCACAATGCATTAAATCATTCTCATAAGTGCAGTACTTTCAATTGTACTCAATTAACCCTTTTTGTTATTTTAAGAATGGTGAATTCTGTTAAAATGTCATATAAACTGCTATTCAAAGTTCATTTTATTAGTTTTCTACACATTCATGTCGCTCTTATTAAAAGTTTTTTAAAACATCATAACCCAGTTTGAACTTTTATGAAGAAAATGTGATAAATTATTTACCAGGTGTGTTAAATGCAGGGTGTTTCCAACATACCATGTGATAATTAAAAAGAGTTTTGAAATGAATAAATTGGCAGATGCTTATCTATATTAAACATAAGATTCATAATTAAATGAGTTTTGGAATTAATAAATTGGCAGATGCTTATCTATATTTAACAAAAGATTTATAATCAAATATGTGAATATAAAAATAATAAATTGCTTTGCCGAGCGCAGCTGGATACGACCGCAGAGGTCCAACCCTTATCAGTTGGGGCAAAAATGGACACAATATTCGCGCCTGATACAGGTCTGAATTTGGATTGTAATTCAATATTTGTCACATGATAGGTTTCTGACACAGAATAACTGTAGTCAAAGAACTTAGAATTGGTTATATGATTTGAATTTATATTCAATTTTTTGCTTTTGTGCAATACACTATGCTGTTGCGAATTGACCTTCCCCCCCCCCCCCCTTTTTAAAAAAATTTGAAGGATTTTTTCTTCTTGAAATCTTGAGGAGAAAAAATTGTACCTCCCTTACACTGTAATTTGTACTTAAGTAATTGTCCATTAACCAGTTCTCTCTTTTTTGCCCCTAATTCCTAGACGGTTTGAGCCATAACCCCCCAAAGCCAACCCTAACCATCCCTTTGTGGTATGGAACCTTGTGGTATAATTTCAGAGAGATCCATACACTGTTCCAAAAGTTATTGTCATGAAACTAGAAAAAATCTTATTTGGGCCCCTTTTTGGCCCATATTCCTAAACTGTTGGGACTATAACCCCCAAAATCCATCCCAACCTTCCTTCTGTGGTTATAAACCTTATGTATAAATTTCATAGATTTCTATTTACTAATACTGAAGTTATTGTCAGGAAACCAAATGTCTTCGGACGATGACGACAACGACGTGATACCAATATACGACCGCAAAATTTTTTTATCGGTTGTATAAAAAGTAGTTGTATGATTGCCAATGAAACAACTATTCACTAGAGACACATGACATAGATGACAGCAAATATTGGTCACTGCCTTCAACAATTAGCAAAAATCATACTGTAAAGTAAATAATAAAAGGCTCTACCATGACAAAATGTAATACAATTCAAACGAGACAACATGATTTATGTACAAAACAATAACGGAAAAACAATTACAATATATGATAGACAGCAACCTAAGACAACCACTGAATTACATGCTCCTGACTTAGGACAGGCGCATACACAACATGTTAGGGTTAAACATTTCTATAAGTACTTAATCCTCCCCTACTCTGGGCAATTGTATAACAGAACAACATACATAAGAATAAACTCTTAAAATCAGTTGAAAAAGACTTAGACTCATCGGATTGACACAACGCATGTCTGTTAATATAAAAACGTGAGAGACATGTAGCTCATTTGTTGTGATATAGCAATTTTTGCTCTGATATGACCAAAGGGATTCATCATCAACCATAAACATGCACTATATGGCTGCAGATTTAAAATGTCATGTAATAATGCATTTATGTCTTGCTAGATCATATGGAAAATTTTAGCACCTTTATTTCAAATACTGTAAAGTTAAAAATTATTGCGAGGTTTTTATTATTGCGAATAATGCGACTGGGTGAGTATCACAATAAGAACAACTCACATTCTAATATCTGATACATAATCTGTATGCAGATTTTTCTGAAATCAAAATAAATAATCTCGCATTTTTGGACTCTTCAATAATCGCAATAATAAATGCAAGCAATAATTTCTGGATTTAGTTATATATGGAGAAAAACATAAAAGAAATAATCTAATAATTGGACTAAAATGCTTCAAGATTCAGCCTGAAAAATCAACTTCAATCTATATATGTTCTGGGTATTTTTAAAATTTAACCAAAAAACATTATAAACTTCATTATATATTTGCTTTCAGACAGTATACCACCACTAAATTATCTAATCTTCTGTTATACACAAAATACATAAAAAGGATTAAATCAACATCAACCCTCCCCCTTTTAATCTAGAGCAGTGGAATGTAACCTAAATCATGAAATTATTTATTGTCTGGTTTTCTCCTTACTCTGATTAACAAATGAGACAATCTACGAAACCTTAGCTATATACCTTGACGAATATAATAGTATTTTATCTTTTTACTATACTAACCAGATCAGGTAATCCACGAACTGTCTCTACTTTAGAAAATATTTCACCACTTTCTTCAATTCTAAAAAACAAGATAAATCCATTTTATCATTTTCATTCATTCTAATACAGATCAAGATATCTAAAAATGAATATAAAATTTTGCGTTTTAAATTTTGGATAAAAGGATACTACCACTATGAAATTCACTGCTAAATTACTTGTAGAAGACAGGTCAAGTAATTTTATTGATGACTAAAGACCACAAATATTTTCCTATAGTTTTTTATTGTCTATAAATAGATTACATAATTCTAAGTTTATTTCTTCCAATTTTTGTTCAACCTTTTCTTAACTTTTTGCATTTCATAGTATCAAAATAAAATAAAATTAGACATTCCGGTAAACCTACTAATTTTCCAGAGTGATATATTTTTGTGACTTTCATGAGTAAAACATATCAAAAATTTAAAACTTCACCAATATGTCAAATTTCAATATTCTCTCATATAAATACATCAACAAGTAAGAAAATTATAAAAAATGTGCTCTGCCTAAGGCAGCTGGATACGACCTCAGAGGTCAAACTCTGAACAGTTGGGGCAAGTATGGACACAATATTCAAGCTTGATACAGTTCTGAATTTGGATAGTGATTAAATATTTGACACATTTGATAGATTTCTGACACAGAATAAATATGGTCAAAGAACTTTGAAATGGGACATTTCATCTACTAGTACTTAATGATCCAATATCAAAATTCTAATTCCATGGTTAGATTCAGCATATAAAAAAAAAACATGAATTCAGTTTTTGATGAAATCAAACAAATTTTAATTTTGGATCCTTTGGACCTTAATATGGACTAATTTGAAAACAGGGCCCAAAATTAAAAATCTGAATGGACAGTTAGATTCAGCATATCATAGAACCACAAGAATTCAGTTTTTGATGAAAGCAAACAAGCATTTTTGCACCTATTTAAAAATGGGGCCCCAATATCCAATAAAGTAATACACGGTAAGAACCCCCAACAATTCAAGACTTTAAATTAATCCTCATTGAAATTGGTTAAAAGATTTGTATTTATTTTCAATTGAAGATTTCTTGCTGTTATGCAATACTTTGCTGTTGCGCAATACTAAGTAAATCTGTTTACAAACTATATATAATAATTTACACATCCTGTTTGGTGTGTATCTCCTGCCATATCAGTATTTGTTGTTTCTTTATATAGATCAGAAATAATTTATGTTAGAACCAGCTTAGCCAGTATTAGAAAAGTCTTTGTTTTTGGCCCCTATTTGGCCTCTAGTTTCTTAACGAGTAAAGCCATAACCCCAAAATCCACCACAACCTTCCATGTGTGGTATGGAACCTTATGGTACAATTTTATAGAGATCCATCAACTAATACTTAAGTAATTGTCTGGAAACCAGAAAAACCTTGTCCCCCCCCTTTTTGTCCCCTTATTCCTGAACAGTTTGAGCCATAACCGCCAAAGTCAAACCAAACCTTCCCTTTGTGGTATGGTACCTTGTGGTTCAATTTCATAGAGATCCATAGACTAATACCTAAGTAATTGTACATTAACTAGAAAAAACCTTGTTTTCCCCCCTCTTTATTGCCCCTAATTCCTGAATGGTTTGGGCCATAACCCCCAAAGTCAATCCCAACCTTCCCTTTATGGTATGGAACCTTGTGGTACAATTTCAGAGAGATCCATACACTTATACACAAGTTATTGTCCGGAAACTAGAAAAATGTCTTTTTTGGCCACTTTTTGACCCCCAATTCCTAAACAGCTGGGACCATAACCCCAAATATCAATCCCAACATTCCTTTTGTGGTATTGCACCTTGTGATTAAATTTCATAGAGATCCATTTACTTATACTAAAGTTATTGTCTGGAATCCAAATGTCTTCGGACAACGACAATGAAGTGTAAGTAATATATGAACGCAAATTTTTTGCGGTCATATAAAAAATAAATATCCATGTGAAGTCTGCAAGAAAGAGCTAAACACAAAAAATATAATTTGGAAATTAAAGTAAGATTGTAGTAATCAGAGTAGAAACAAAGAATGTGTTTGTTAAAAACAGCCAGCTCAAAGAAACTCCTGTGCCATCACCTGTCATTTCCTTGAAGGAAGTTCCATAAAATGACAATATAAACTGTATATAACTCCAGCCAAAATGGCACTGATTAACAGTTTGTCAGACAGCTTATGTCAGTTGATTTTCTGAGATGTTTTAAAAAACTTACTGAGGACTAAGACATATTGGTTCAGCCTGTGTCCCTCCTGCTCCCATAAGAACAGCATACATTGCTCCATTCCTACACTGAACCAGTAGATAGGATGTAGTTCTAGTACTGTACGGTGGGTATTCTGTCATTTCTTGTGGACATATACTGGGGTCTAAAAACAACAACTTTTCTATGCAGGAATTGTCAGAAATATTGATAACTCCTCTTTGTATTCCTGAAATACATAAAAAATGTTCTGTTAGCTTTGATCATATTGCAGCTTGATTATTTATAATTGAACATTAAAGAAATACTAGGAATTCTGAATAAATTAAAATACAGATCCTATGTCCCTGCTTTCCTTATCAGAATCTGATAACATTCTGTCCCATTTTTTGTTCTGGCAATTATTACATTAACCAATCAAATGGTCGCCTACAAATTTTTGAGATTGTGAATTATTATGACAAAACCTGAGGAAACCTAAAAGGTGCTTTGCTTCCCATTCTTAATGAAATCATCAATACTCTTCCAAATGTCTTCTGCAACATTTCTTTTAACAAATTGTTTCCACTTCCTATACCCTTTAGGTTTCAACTCCCTCATGCAAAGTTGACCTTAGATGGATTTGGCTATTTTTTTAGGTCCTTTTAGGTAATATAGCTCTTCAACTATTTCGGTTCTTATACATATTTGGCTTTGAGAGTTCCTGATGAAGGTAAATCCAGAAAAGCTCTTCGGACGCATGAAATTTATAACGTGTTGTTTTCATTTTTTTCTTAACAAGCAGTGTGTCACATTCCAAAAATATCAGCCATAAAGTGTTGCAATCTTCCAGACACAGTTTTGACTTAACAAATTATCTATCCCATAATAACTTTTTTTCAATCTATCAGACCTTGCTTGAAAGTTACCCTAAATTCAAGACTTTCAACTTCTAAAACCAATAATCCCCAAAGTGGCACTAAATATCTATCCCATGAACAATGTTCCCATCTACTGTGGATTCATTTATTTTCATGGTACCAATTTTCATGGATAGAGTACAAAATTGTACTTTTGGTGGATATTTGAAATTGTGGTTTTGCCAAAGTCTAAATACAAGCTTGGAGAAAATTTGATCATCATTGAACATTTAAAATAGTGATTTACCAATATCCACAAATTTCACAAAAATTGGTATCCCACAAATAATAACGAATCAACAGTATTAAACCTATGACCATCAGAGTGACACTTACCTAAATATCTATCCCATAATACAATGTTTCCATCTACTAGACCTATAATCATCAGTGTTACACTTACCTAAATATCTATCCCATAATACAATGTTTCCATCTACTAGACCTATAATCATCAGTGTTACACTTACCTAAATATCTATCCCATAATACAATGTTTCCATCTACTAGACCTATAATCATCAGTGTTACACTTACCTAAATATCTATCCCATAATACAATGTTTCCATCTACTAGACCTATAATCATCAGTGTTACACTTACCTAAATATCTATCCCATAATACAATGTTTCCATCTACTAGACCTATAATCATCAGTGTTACACTTACCTAAATATCTATCCCATAATACAATGTTACCGTCTACTAGACCTATAATCATCAGTGTTACACTTACGTTGTACCTAAATATCTATCCCATAATACAATGTTTCCATCTACTAGACCTATAATCATCAGTGTTACACTTACCTAAATATCTATCCCATAATACAATGTTTCCATCTACTAGACCTATAATCATCAGTGTTACACTTACCTAAATATCTATCCCATAATACAATGTTTCCATCTACTAGACCTATAATCATCAGTGTTACACTTACCTAAATATCTATCCCATAATACAATGTTACCATCTACTAGACCTATAATCATCAGTGTTACACTTACATTGTACCTAAATATCTATCCCATAATACAATGTTTCCATCTACTAGACCTATAATCATCAGTGTTACACTTACCTAAATATCTATCCCATAATACAATGTTTCCATCTACTAGACCTATAATCATCAGTGTTATATTTACCTAAATATCTATCCCATAATACAATGTTTCCATCTATTAGACCTATAATCATCAGTGTTACACTTACATTGTACCTATATATCTATCCTATAATATAATGTTTCCATCTACTAGACCTATAATCATCAGTGCTACACTTACCTAAATATCTATCCCATAATACAATGTTTCCATCTACTAGACCTATTATCATAAGTGATGTCTCATCTGATACTGCTGATGATGTGATCTTTGCAGTAAAAGGCCAGACCATATCTGGTTTGGTTTCATCTGGAAAAACAAAACCCCTGATTAGGTTTATTCATTTTAACCATAAAGCATATTAGTTTTGATAAAAAAAAACAGAAAGGAGTAGGTATGATACTAGCCATATGCATTATTTGTCCCCTGAAATCTCAAAAATAATAAACTTTTAAAGCCTTTCAAAATAATGATAATTTTATTGATAGTGAACAAGTAGTTTAATCTGGAAACTTTAGTGCAGAAAATTCACTTCTGATATCCCTATGATGTCATAAACATGTCGAAATTTACATATTTGCCCTAAAATGGCCTATTCAAGCATATATACAGTTTTTGTTCAAAATATATACCACTGCAAGAATTTTATCTTAAAAGACATTAAATCTTTGTAAAATACGTTTTGTAGCGAAATATATTTTTGGGTAAAGCTCTTGCACATATCTAAATATTAATGACAAGATCTCAAAATGAGGCTATGTTGGCAGTTTTGCTGTTTTGATATCCTTTGATTTTGGTTTCATAATTTTCACAAGTTCGTAAAAAAACACCATATTCCCTTTTTTTCTTTTACTATAAATTATACATTTTTTTTTAAATTGTGACACACAAAAAATACAATGTCTACAGACCATCTCTCATAAATTCTCTTCAAAACTACAGCAACATGGTATAAAAAAAAAAATAACAAATATATTTCCGCTAATTAAAAAACAGAAATATGAAAACTGCCTTTTAAACGAACAAAATATGATCACTACCTTTTCCTGGTGTTTTGAGTAATGAATAATGCATAACATGTGTACTGTCCTTCCACCACACTGCTACAGTTGTAGGAATAGCTGAAATGTTCAATATGGCATATCAATAATAAGAGTAATGAAATGAAATCAAATCAAATTAAACCAAAACTGATTTATAGAAAACAAAATATGAATCTTTAGAAAATAAATAAGTTTTTGAATGATATGTTTAGGCAATTTTGCTCCATCTTGTATATAACCCACATTCAAATTCCATGACAACTAAATTTAAAGTTTTTATAAATTTGTTGTCATGAATTTTCATTAAATAGTTAACACTGGATAATTAACTTGCAACCACCATTATGTAAAAATATGACATAAAACAATTATTAAGCCAAAAAAGCTATGAAAACTTTCTACTTTTAAAAATCACTTACATTCTTTAGTACCGGTAAATATATTCAATGTACAGATAAAATATACAAGGATTAGAAAATATTTTCAAAATTTTTGTATGAATTGAAAAATGAATTGGATCATGAGTATTGGCTGAAGTTCAGACTTTAAGATGACCTTGCAAAAAAATTAAAAAACAGATCGTACATATATATATATATACTGTACCTACTTAAATTCGCTGGATTTTCCAGTCCAAGAGGTATCATTTTTCCAGCATTCAGGAAATGAAAATTTACATCCCTGTAAAAAATAAAAAATTCCTAACAGTTATTTTAAAATATGAAATAAAACACTGAAAAACAATATTTTTTAATTCGTTTTTTGGGGTAAAATATATTCTATATTTCATGTAAATTGAACTAGAAGTTGCATGTTTAGTCATGCTAAACATACATCAAATCTCTATTCTATCGGCAAACAAGAAGTATGTATCTGACATTCTCTAAAAAGGCATAATCTTTGCAACTCATCAATGTTAAGCTGCTGACTAAATACAAAGTCATTCTGTTTAGTAGTTATTGAGAAAAGTCAAGCAATAATAACTTATCTTCCTTTCAATTTATTTATTGAAATTTCTGTTACACAGTTTCTTATTTTGAAGAAGTGCAATCTTTAACTTTTTTAAGGGATTTAGACCATAATTGTGATAAAATAATCAACTAGAAATCATTTTAAAAGTTAAATTTTGAAGGATAAATTATTCAGCCATGTTTCTTACTTATGTTGTTATGGTTCTGACCAGAAAGAAGCTTTTTAAATTAAAAGTGTAAGCACTGAATCAAGGGAAACACGGCTTGATTTCTGTTATGTAAATGTACCATTATTTCATCAGAGTTTAACAGAGATCATTTTTGTTTAAATTGCTCTAAATCTAAATGGAATTGATCATTAGAAAGAAAATAATATAATTGATGATAAGTTTCTGACATACTTGGCTTTATATTTGTTAAAAAGTTGTATTATTCATAAACTTACTGTATATTATCAACAGTATCATCTTTTGATGCATATTCAAGTAGATTTTCATGTAAATGGTCAAATACTTCTTTTCTTAATTCAATCTGAGTGGTTGATAAAACATGATTTTGTCCTGTTCCAATTACCTCCCCTGTGTCGACCTTCTGACAGGTAGAATAGACTGATGAGGCCAAATTACCTGGAATTACAAGAAACATAGAGTACAAAGCTTTATTTTACATTCTACTAAACATTCCTGTAACATTGATTCTTGGTTGATGGAACTTCTTTGACATGAGTTTCTGTTTGACCCCAAAGGTTGACTGGGCTATAGAAATATGCTCACTTGGATTTACTGACAGACACAAAGACAGGAAAACATGATGCTCCCTTCTATCTTGGAGAAGTTAAAAGTATCTGTACTAGGTCTATTAGTTCATGCTTAAAAGGATAATTCTCATATTGAACACTGATTTTTTTACTTTCAAAATACCGGTAGTATATGCAAATAATTTTTTTTTTTAATTATTATTCAAACTATATGAATACACGCAAATATGTACAAATATAAATACATGTGAAGATAACAAATCTTTTATCTCAATAATCAATTGAATGAATGTTTCATACTTTGGACTTTAAATACATTATAAATAAAATCAAGTATTTTTTAGGTCCAACAAAAATATCATTGGTTAAAAAAACACCACATTGATTTTGTTTAACCTTCAGACCTGACATCTGACAATTAATGAAAAAAATATAACAGTAAACATAAATATGAAAGTTATATTTCCTTCACAAATAATTGAATATACATTTATTCCAAGCATTCATAATAATAGTGATATTAAGTCCTGCATTTCACAAAAGATCATATGATTCACAACAAATAGAAATTTGTAGATTTAATTAGTAATTTTTGATTGATTGTACGTCTTCTGACCTTTGTAAAACACAGGTAAGGATTTATATTACTGGACTAAAGGGAGTCATTCTAATGGCAAGCTTTTTGTTCTATGAAGTGTTATATATATATGATGGGATGATGTAAAAATTGGAGGGGTTAAATTTGGAACTAATTGTAATAACACAGCTAACATCCTATATTCTTGAGGTTGAAAAAAAAACCAAATCATTATTTCTAAGGTAACATCAGAATATAAATAACTGTAACATATTTGGCAAGTTTTGTAAGTAATTAATTTCACTACTGCAATCTGTTATCTGACTATGCTTAAGCTTTGCTGGAAACACAATTTGTGACATTACATTCTTAAATATATATAGTTTTCCACTGACATAATTGGAGATAGAGATATTTCTGTTTGCACCCAAATTGCACAAAAAGCAAATTTAACTGATTAGACTAACTGCTAGATTTTAGAAAAATTACGTTTTCTGAACAATCTAGTTAGAATCTTTTATCAAATCGGCTTGTACCACATGCTTAAATTTTGCTTGTCAAATAAGATATTCAAATAGTTTGCTTTCCAAAATGGCAGCCAAGGGAAATAACTCTAACTTAAATTGTGAATCAATAAACATGTACATGCAATATATTTTCTATATTTGAAAACAGAACTGTTGTTAGTTGTGTGTTCATATTAGCATAAACATGAACAATATGTAAAAGCTCTGAAATTAAATAAGAATCCGGTGACTAAATAAAGGAAAGAATATGTATATACATTATAATATATATGTGTTACTACAACTGATTATTTGCACCAATAAATACATTGAAAAATATATCATTTTAGATTATTTAATGCTAGTAAAAAGAATTAAATTCAAATTTTCATGAGATCCCCTTCAATTTGATTTTTACCAAACACTATACAAAATGATCAATCCCAATGAACAGTATCTTTTTGCTGTCTTCCCAAACATTTTTCTCTGCCAGATAATTTAATTTTTTCAGCTCAAAAGTTAAAAAGGCCAAAATATATTATTTTCTTTCAAATACACAGGTTTAATTGGGTCAAGTAGAATCTTTTATCCATTGTTACTTGGCTCTTTACTGACAGGAGACCAGTATTTACAGATCCAAACCACATTATTGGAAATTACCACTGTTAATTCAGAGTAACATTGCACATCAGTTGTAGTAAAAAGGAAGAAACTATAGACAACCTTTTTCATATCTCATAAACATGATTCCAGATATTATGTTTTTTACAGGTACCTCAAAAGTTCTTTAGTGGAAAAAAGGGCATGTTGACCCTGACCTTCTGTTCGATGTAAAAAGTAATGGTATACTTTCACTTTAATCTTTTCTCCAGAAAAATTTATCTGGTGTCAATTCTAATCTGATTTCTAAAGATTTAATATTTGAAACCATTATTATTGGAATATCCTTTTATTAGATTTTAAAAACAGGGGAAACAAAATATTATTTTTTAGTCAAAATACCACTAAAATTTATATTTTACTGAAATTCTTAAAAAAATTTTAGTCACAAAATTCTTTCGATTACCAGAACTATTATTCAAAATTTAATGTGGTAACTAAAAATAATTTTGCCTGTTAAGGCAAAAACTAAGGCAAAAACTGAATAAAAATCAATAAGAAATGTCTTATGAAAATCAAAACAATTGTTACAGCTTGTGAATTTTTGTGTTTTCAATTTAATTATTAAATAATTTAAATTATAAACTTTCATTTTATTTAAAGTTTATGAAAAATTGTCTGCATTTTCCTGTTTATATATCAATAACATGGGCTAGGAACCAGTTAGGTCTGTTCCATTTATACATACATTGTACCCAGGGTAGGCACTTTCAAAATGGGGTAACCATTTATTGAAGCAATTTTAGAATTACTCTTACACTTATGCACAAGAAAAACTTTTTTTATTGGGTCCCATGTATGTTTTATGGAACAGCCCTTACTTTAAACTGATGAGTAAATCTTAGATCTGGAAATAAAACTGAGAATATGATAAAGGCCTATAAAGATTAAATATGGGAACCTGTTAATTCTTCGTTTACCTCTTGATTCCAAAGCTGTGAATTAAATATTTTTAATCATTTACATATTCAGAACATAATCACAATTAAAACAGAATGTCAATCCATGGCTATCACTTAAAGTGTTTTGTATACTGACAAAATGACAATGTGTTCAACAGACTGACAAACAAAAGTGATGGATAGAAAATAAAGGATCTTTTAGAAGTCAGAAGATTTCTAGTTGTATCAATTATATGATTCAAATCGAAAATTTCTATAGGATCAAATGAACAAAATTTTCAGAAATTTGTGTTTAATTAACTTTGATGTTTATAACTGAATACATAATCAACATTGTGTTGGTTTATCAAAATCTGTATTACAAATGGAAGCAATTCTTATATGTGTACAAAAAAATTAAAGTTACTGAAGGGAGACAATCTAAAAATTAAAAGATGCCACAGCCTAGAATCCTGGCTCATATCTAGACAATATTGTTCTTCTAATTTTCAATGATAATATATGTTTCAAATAATTATTCCTTATTGAAGGAATCTTTTAAATCTTGGCTATTATATTCATTTAAAATATATGTACAATCAAGAATTATTAATGTTAATCTTTCTCACCTGAAACTTGTGGTGGTGGTTTCAGTTTAAACACTAATGAAGGCTGTGAAAACTTGACCCCTGCAGTGTCTTCATTACTCTGAAAGTACAGCAGAAGAATCTATATTAAAAACAATGCAAAATCAGAATTACTGGCTTAAGCATAGTACATGGAATTGTACGGTGTAGTTTTTATCATGTCAGTGGCTCTTTCACTGATTGCTATATTTGGAAAAAGTTTAGGTTTCTATTGTTGCTAAGTTTGTTTTTTTTTTTTTTGGGGGGGGGGGTTCATTTAGGGATATGAAGTTGATATCAGAGATAAATGCTAGGTATGTTTTGTCCATTAAGGAATTTTGAGGTTAATGTCAGGTATTGTCAATAAGTTTGTTTTTTTATGTCGGAATATGAGGTTGATGTCAAAGACTGTGGCCAAGTATTTCTTGTATTTCAGCAATATGAAAGTTAATGTTGTATATTGTTACTAAGTATTTTTTGTCTAACTAGGAATATGAACTTATTGTCAGGTATTGTCATTATTATTTATTACAATACATCTTGTTTTGACACATGGTAGTTATAGAGTTTATACCATGAATTCTTCATCAAATATTGCAAATATAAAAACATATTAGTCATATAAATTTTTAAGTCATCCTTTTGTTACCTGTTGTATAATTAAATTTCAATACCAAGTAATTACTATTGTTACTCCTTCAATATGTAGTTTGCAAATGTTATTTTATGCTTCATCTAGCAAACAAGCAAGCTAAACTACTCTAAAATGGGAATTTTTCACTAAGGGATAACAAATAATCAGGATAATGTCCCTTTGTGTAAATTTGGTTTTTAAGAAAAATCAGAATGAGGAGCAAGAAAAATGTGAAAAAAATAACCTAGCAAACAGGTTTTGTCTTAGAAATAGGGAAATTTAATCAGGACATGGTGCTCAAACAAGTATCATTAATAATTCATATTTTATTCAGCACTGCACAATAACACAATAGAATCAATGCAGCAGTCTAAGGGTTAATACCATCATATATTTTTTTTTAAATCAGGATCATTCTATTTAACTAAACCTACCATACAGAAAGGCAATCAAAAATTAAGCTATACACAAGTGAATCTGATAGCCTTTATGCTAAAGTCAAAAATTTTCTACCTCGCACTAAACAGGGGACATTGGTCTTGAAATGTTTGCCACTGGTTGTTAAGCAAACAATCAACAAGGAATAATTCTCAGTTTAAAATGTATGATTTATATGAAACAATGTCTATCTAAGTGTGCACATGAAACAATTCACACCAAAAAATCCAAACAAGCAAACAAACTAGGGTGTACCCATACATTTCATGATGGTTTGTCTGAAAAATAAATTTACTACTTTAACCTGCCAATACACCTTATCGCTATTTGTCCGCCATTACTGGACATCACACAAGTTCCCGTAAAATGTTGACGTCATAATAGAAAATATCTGACGCCACAATGGAAAAGTGATTGTTGTATGACGTCAAAAGTTCGAGCGGGACTGATTCTCGGGTCAAGCGGGATTAGCGATAAGGTGTATGGTAAGAATATGTGCAAGTATAAAATGATTTAAAACTGGCTTATAAATGCCTTGAATTTGAAAAATTAACATAAAATTAAGTCGACTTCTGAAAAATATTCATGTTAAATATTAAAATCAACATGCTTTTTCTGATTTCAGTTTTTGTTATTTTCTTTTTTAATCTTCCACTATCACTATTTTATAACAATTATATTTTATATGCCAGTTTTGATTCTAGTGAAAATATGACCAAAGGCTTGTATTGGTTCACCAGCTATGCAAATTATTAAACTGTCATCAATAAAACAGTTTAATGAAAAGATTGTTTCCAGCTAGAACTTTCTGTGAGAAACAAATCCATACTGAAGAGTATCACAAAAGACAATTCAAACTATGTTAATATCTCCACAATAAACGTATTTACACTTTTGGTATTTAGCTGAATTTTGTCTCCAAATGACCTTAGATTTGCTCTGAATAACTTTCTGACGTCAAGCAACACTCACTTTTTTATTATGTCGTCAAATTTTTTAAATTATGATGTCAAATTTTACAGGAACTTGTGTGATTTTAAGTAATGGTGGACAAATTTGCATACAAGTGTAAATACGTCTATTGTGCTTTGGACACTACTGTTGAAACAAACTTTAAATCTCTGCTAGACAAATCAATGCTATGATTTTTTTTCTCATTTTTGTTCAATTTATCAAAAATAAATTATTTCTATACAACTGAATTGGAACAAACAATAACATAGACATTTAGATGCAAAGTGATGACATTAGCTCAACAGGACCTAAAAATGCCTGTCCATGTGAGCTAGAAATGAATCCATTATCCAATGACATGTCTTACAGAACTCCATGATGCAGAATGTGATCTTCTAGCATGATAAATGTATCTCTGAAACTTTAAAATGAGTGAAATGATCAATGATATGAAATGTGAATACTGTGTTTGGACTTTTGTGAGTTTTGTCTTTATTTTAACATATTCAAAGTCCTTAAATTTTAGTGAATCAATGTTGATATTGAAACTTAAAAGTCACTATTTACGAGTGAATACCTACATTTTACAGGGACAATTTTATCAAATAAAATCAAAACCATTATAAAGCAACAACAAATGATAGGTGTTGTCATTTTACAAAAATAAAATTATTTCAATGTAGGTATATTTATTTCTTTACTTATAAATACAAATGCGTACAAAGTGGTAGCATCTATATTCATGTCAAATCATGAAAAACAAGTATAGACAAAAAGGACAGACACAGTATTAGGTAATTACTATAATATGCATAAATGATACTGTAATCGACCGAATAAACACCTCTAGTACTTGAAGAATTACTGAGAAATTACATTTATTTGGACTTTCCGTCAAAGAGACATTTTTGGAATAAAAAAATTTTTACATGGAATCATTCTACACAGACATTAAAAAATAAGTGTGGGTTTGTTTGTCAATGTTGGTTGAATGGCAATCAATGGTCAAATGAGTTAGGGTATCTAACTTTCAATTAAATTGGAAAGTGGTTGTTTATAGCAGTCAGGGATAATTATTAAGTCAAATACAGAGTATGATGAAAGTGATAAAAATGCATGAAATGAAATGTATGACAATAACACTCAGATGAAATGTTCAAAAGATGTGATTGTGTCAATGAAAGTACATGAATCAAATTAATATGAATATGAGAGGAAAAAATAACAAATATATATAGAAAAGAAGCATAAAAAAATACCTAACTGCAAGGTAATTTCAAAAAGGGGAAGTACATAAAAACTGACAAAAATCAAAAGTGAGACTGTATCAACCAATGGAACAAATGGAAATTAATTTGATACAGGTATTTTTCGAAGAAAATGGCGAAACGTTACACATATCCAACAATGCCTGAAATCACAAAAAATGTTTGTAACTGCTTAGCAACAGGGGAAAAAAAGATTTTCAATCCTGATCTGTAGAAGGTACAGATACATTTTGTATTTTCTGTAAAAGAATAAAATAATCTTCAATTTGATAAGATATTCATTTTGTAACATTCTAAACTGTTGTCTATCTTGTATTTCAAAGACATCAGAATTGCTTTCATACAGATTGCAAAGAGGATATAAAAAAAATAGTGATATAGACAGTATTCAGTAATTAAAATATGATAATTTAAATATCAAAGTTTGTTCATTATAAGATATAAAAAATAAGGAGATGTATGATGGCCAATGAGACAGCTATCCACCAAAGTTCAATTGAAGTGGATTTAAGCAATTATAGGCAACTGTATTTACTGTACGGCCTTCAACAAAGAGAAAAAACATACTGTATAGTCGGCTATAAAAGGCCCCAACATGAAAAATATGAAACAATTCAAGCCTGATACCAGGAAAATGTAATTCAAATGTACTAATAATATAATAATATTGCATAAGTTTATGTATAAGTAAATTGGCTGAATGTAGGATAAACAAAGAATGTGTCCATAGTACATGGATGCCCCACTCGCACTATCATTTTCTATGTTCAGTGGACCGTGAAATTGGGGTTAAAACTCTAATTTGGCATTAAAATTAGAAAGATCATATCATAGGAAACATGTGTACTAAGTTTCAAGTTGATTGGACTTCAACTTCATCAAAAACTACCTTGACCAAAAACTTTAACCTGAAGCGGGACAGACAGACGACCAGACGGACAAACAGACGCACAGACCAAAAAAATAATGCCCCTAGGTGGGGCATAAAAATGATTAGCAATATCAAATATATATGTACCAGTACTGATGCATATTTCATTCATAAAATTATACTTCATAACCATGTGTATTAGAGACTAATGATGAAAGTTTATATAAATAAACATTTATGTTGACCATAGTCAGTAAACAGAAGTACAACTCCATTCAAAGCTTTCATCATACACAAAAATAAGCTACATTCAGATGACCAAAAGCTTAGCAAACATGCACTTAATGAAGAGTTTTAAAAATCAGCTTTATTAGAAAAAAATTAAAACAGAGACTTTTTGTCACCTTCTTTTCAATTTAAACATAAATCAAACATTTAACATTTCATGCACATATCATAACATTTCATGCACATATCATAAGATTTTATGCACATATCATAAGATTTCATGCACATATCATAAGATTTCATGCACATATCATAAGATTGTATGCACATATCATAAGATTTTATGCACATATCATAAGATTTTATGCAAATATTGGTAGAACAAGTTTCATATGTAGCTTTGTGTTTATACTTTGAAAAAAAGTCCAAAAAATTGCAATCAAAGGAATACAGTGCATTTTTGACATTTACCATCAATCTGTAACCGAAAATATCTGTAGATTTCTAACTCATGTACATATAAAGCTATTCGAATTCAAATTAAAATATTCTAAATAGTTCACTGGCTATAAAACTTTCAAGACACTAGCAAAATTTACAAATTACCAATTACCACTTTAAAAAAAGTTTTTGTGCACATCACACAATGGCACTATGTAAAACAATATAGATATATACATATCAATTCTAGAATCAAGACTGTGAATCCCCATATACTGTGGATTCATTTATTTTCGTGGGTACCAATTTTCGTGGATTGATGGAAACCTGCATTTTCGTGGATATTTGATTTTGTGGTTTTGCCAAAGTCTGCATACAGCCATATAGAAAATTTGCAGTGCGTTGAACATTTAAATTCGTGGTTAACCTGTACCAACGAAATCCACGAAAATTGGTATCCAACGAATAACAAGAAATGATTGTAACAGGATGCTGTTACGAAGTCTCCCAAACGAAGCTCCCATAATTCGTAATTCCCAAGGTCGCCTGACATTGAGCAAAGTCCAGTTAAATTGGTTTGGTCCAGTAAAGTTATATGCATTAGTGATGCCTGGGGACTAACCCTGTATATCATTCAAATCATCTTGGCATGACAAACCAGAATATATATGGTTTAGGGGTGGGGATCTCGACCATTTACAAGATATTAGAACTTTCTCAAATGACAGGGGGTCGGGATGACCCCTGGGGACTAACCCTGTATATCATTCAAACCATCTTAGCATGACAAACCAGAATATATATGGTTTAGGGGTGGGGATCTCGACCATTTACAAGATATTAGAACTTTCTCAAATGGCAGGGGGTCGGGATGACCCCTGGGGACTAACCCTGTATATCATTCAAACCATCTTAGCATGACAAACAAGAATATATATGGTTTAGGGGTGGGGATCTTGACCACTTAAAAAATATTAGAACTTTCTTAAATGGCATGGGGTGGGGGTGACCCCTGGGGACTAACCCTGTATTTCATTTCATGTGCTTTATCATGACAAACCAGAATATATATGGTTTAGGGGTGGGGATCTCGACCATTTACAAGATATTAGAACTTTCTCAAATGGCAGGGGGTCGGAATGACCCCTGGGGACTAACCCTGTATATCATTCAAACCATCTTAGCATGACAAACCAGAATATATATGGTTTAGGGGTGGGGATCTCGACCATTTACAAGATATTAGAACTTTCTCAAATGACAGGGGGTCGGGATGACCCCTGGGGACTAACCCTGTATATCATTCAAACCATCTTAGCATGACAAACCAGAATATATATGGTTTAGGGGTGGGGATCTTGACCACTTACAAGGTATTAGAACTTTCTTAAATGGCATGGGGTGGGGGTGACCCCTGGGGACTAACCCTGTATTTCATTTCATGTGCTTTATCATGACAAACCAGAATATATATGGTTTAGGGGTGGGGATCTTGACCATTTACAAGATATTAGAACTTTCTCAAATGGCAGGGGGTCGGAATGACCCCTGGGGACTAACCCTGTATATCATTCAAACCATCTTAGCATGACAAACCAGAATATATATGGTTTAGGGGTGGGGATCTTGACCATTTACAAGATATTAGAACTTTCTCAAATGGCAGGGGGTCGGGATGACCCCTGGGGACTAACCCTGTATATCATTCAAACCATCTTAGCATGACAAACCAGAATATATATGGTTTAGGGTGGGGATCTCGACCATTTACAAGATATTAGAACTTTCTCAAATGGCAGGGGGTCCGGATGACCCCTGGGGACTAACCCTGTATATCATTCAAACCATCTTAGCATGACAAACCAGAATATATATGGTTTAGGGGTGGGGATCTTGACCACTTACAAGGTATTAGAACTTTCTTAAATGGCATGGGGTGGGGGTGACCCCTGGGGACTAACCCTGTATTTCATTTCATGTGCTTTATCATGACAAACCAGAATATATATGGTTTAGGGGTGGGGATCTTGACCATTTACAAGATATTAGAACTTTCTCAAATGGCAGGGGGTCTGAATGACCCCTGGGGACTAACCCTGTATATCATTCAAACCATCTTAGCATGACAAACCAGAATATATATGGTTTAGGGGTTGGGATCTTGACCATTTACAAGATATTAGAACTTTCTCAAATGGCAGGGGGTCGGGATGACCCCTGGGGACTAACCCTGTATATCATTCAAACCATCTTAGCATGACAAACCAGAATATATATGGTTTAGGGGTGGGGATCTCGACCATTTACAAGATATTAGAACTTTCTCAAATGGCAGGGGGTCGGGATGACCCCTGGGGACTAACCCTGTATATCATTCAAACCATCTTAGCATGACAAACCAGAATATATATGGTTTAGGGGTGGGGATCTTGACCACTTACAAGGTATTAGAACTTTCTTAAATGGCAGGGGGTGGGGGTGACCCCTGGGGACTAACCCTGTATTTCATTTAATGGGTTTTATCATTTAGAACATTTTCAATTAAAAAGATTGTGTCTATCACAAACGGTTTTCAATTTATAATCATTTGAAAATTTTTAAAAATAAAATCCCATAGGGTTCTATAGTAAAACCCTCTTTTGTTTTTGCCCCTCAAAGTACCCCTTTATAAACCCCATTACACAAACAAAACCCTGATTGCACCACTAGACATGTTAGTCTAACATATTGTGAAACCCTAAGTTAATCTGACAAGCGGTTTTAGAGAACGGGTGCGGACAAGTTCAAATTTAAAAGCGGCGGAAGAGGAAGAGGAAGAGGAAGAAGAATAATAATAATAATAAGAACTGAGCAAAAACAATAAGTCTTCCCAAACTTCGTTTGGGAGACTTAATAATGAATCCACAGTAGCATGTATACTGCTATTAACCACCACATAATAGATCCAGTAGCTCCAGCAACAGAAATTCAAAGCTTGGATACAGTTCAGTCAACTGAATCCTTGCCCTGTAATTCTACAGGTGCTATGAACTGGTTTCTGGTTATCATCAATATCCTATGCACAGGGTAAACACAGTGATGAAAAGTGCAACCTAATTCAAAACATCACACCAATCTTACTCTTTTAAAACTCTTTGTGGGTAGATTAGGAAAACTTTGTGACAACTAAAAACAAAATGAAAAGCAAATGTTAAAAGCACAAAAAAAATTGCTTATGGAGAAAGGATCACTGCATGGTGCTGAAGTGCATTTTTTTGTAAAATGGAGTTTTTTCCCAATAACTACTAAATTCAGATTGACCCCTCGATATATTGCTGATATATCTACTGACAAAGGATCATCTAAAATTAAAACTATAACACATTTGAGAAAATCAAATTTTCAATTCAAAATAAGTAATGTAAAAGAGGTATAAAAATCAAGGAATTTTAGAACAAAGGTGATAAAAGTGTTCAAAAATACTCTCTCACTGAAAAATGTCTAATTTAGTTGTAAAGTAAAGGCAACAGTAGTATACCACTGTTCGAAATTCATAAATCGATTGAGAAAAAAACAAATCCGGGTTACAAACTAAAACTAAAGATCACATATAAAACTGAAACAAATATTGTAAAACATGAAATATAGGTCATTGTGACATAACTTTTGTGTTATGGGAGACTGAAAAAGCATGTTAGTTGCATGGCCATACCATATGTTAAACAAAAGCAGATTATTGCATATCTGAGAATAGAATATGAGCTGCTTCGGATAGATATCGACCTTATGCAAGTGCACATATACATGTACATTTATTAGACTTTGATTGATTTTTTTAACCTTCAAATACGAAATAAAAGATTAATTTTAGTCTGTTTTGTAGGGTTCTTATATCAACTTAATTTTCAAACAGTTACAGACTTTGTATAGAGTATTTTCCACCTAAAATAAGTTAACAGATGTATTGATATTCATTTGCAATTGGTCGATTTCTATCCAACACAGCTCATATATTGGTGTAAAATTTTCATATACAAAATGACATACAGATGATTATCCATTTTTTTTTTTTTGGGGGGGGGGGGGGGGGGGGGGTATATTGATAGGGTCAAAATTTTCAACATGAAAAAAAACTTAACTCTAAAGTTCATAGTCATTTCTGAATGTTCGCAAATCAATTTTGATAATGTATATAATAAGAGAAGAAAATGAAATAAAAATAAAAAGTAATCCAACAAAATAATTTTTCAACTGGATGAGATAAAGGTTTATTGAAGGCTCTCATTTAAAACATTTTTTTTTTTTTTGTTAAAAACAGCAATAGAGATAATTTTGAAACAATAAGCATTGCTTTTGTTTCTTATCAATATGTATGTACCTGTGATTGTTGAATCTGTGATTGGCTTTCACTTTTCTCTCCATCAGTACCCTCAGCAGGTTCAGCTGTTTCTGTGCTCTCTTCTTCCTTAACTTCTTTCATTTCCTGCTAAATGTTCAAAGATTATCATATTTGGTTTTCATTTTTATAACATTTATGTTATTACATGTTTAAAGGGGCACTCCACTAAAAAGCTGAACCTATTAAATTACTGACCTCAAACGTGGTGCATGTACTGACTTTGTGTCATGGATGGATACCCCATATCCTTTGTTTTTCTATCAAAATAATTCACAGCTATAAGTAATTTTCATGAGGCCAATTTATTAGCCATCTAAATGTCCACACATTTCTCAGTTTGTATAGAAGGATCAAAGATGAAGTAACAAATGCTCACAATGCATTAAAAAAATGTTGTAGTAACATGGGTCATAGGACACATAAAATAAGTTCACTGGTACACATTTAAGGGCATACGAGACAGTTACAGGGGAGGTAATGACGTTGCTAACGTAAAATGTTATTTTCGCAACGTCAAACTGTGACATATTGGGAAAAGATGCATTTTTCGACTGATTTTTATCATTCAAACTGATTTAATTTGAAAACGAGTTCATGGACCCCTCTTTTTTGAAATGACATTAGGTTTGATTACGTATGAAGATTATTTGTACCAATTTTTATGATAAAGTCACTGATGAAATTCTTTTAAATTAGATAAATATACAGCAAAAAATGCCGTTATTTTTCTAAAATCATGAAACTTTGATAAAAATTAATTATTTCCAAAGAATTGTTATACAAATTTAGAGCATACTTATCTAAAGAAGATTTTCCAAAAGTTTTTACAAAATTCCGCTTGTGTTTATCTTTTGAAACAAAAAAGTTAAGTATGTCTATCCAAAGGATAGAAATGTCCAAAAAACCGAAATTTTGGTTTAATGTCTAAAATTTCGACCCCATTTATCTCTTAAAGTAGCACATGAAGGTATATTTTTTATTACATATTTGAATTGACTAGGTAAAAAATAGCTTGTATTCCAATTTTTCGTAAAAAATTCACCGTGGGATCAAAACTGTATCGTATGTCCTTAATGTCAAAACAATGCTGTTTGTATAATTTGTGTTGAAAGACATTATAGTTTTGTAATGAACTGATAAGAAACATGTATATTTAATTAAGAGCACTATATGTAAACTTAAAAGAGTATCATTTGGAAACAGGAAGAATTTCGACATCATTTTCCAGAAGATTTTTTCAAATTTGTTGATTCAGCAATAAAAAAACATCATGCACAATCAGAGGAGTTCTCCTTTTTGCGAAATAAAAACCTTTGGTTCTTCTTTCTTCTGTAATTTTGCTTTGATATTATCTAGTTCTGTAACCCAGTTTTCTCTTGGTAGCTTGTGTATCTCCAACCAAATGTCTCTTGATTCAGGATCTGTAAAATGTAAATTATAAACTGAAATCCCTCATGTCTTTCATTAACAAAGAAACAAATAACATCTTTGACAGTGTTTTCTCTACTTGAAAATTAAGGATGTACTTAGGTGAAATTAAAAAAATCTAGAATTTAAAATTGATACTATAAGTCAGAAGAGCATTAGTTAAGGAACAAAATAAGCTAAAAATATTGATAGGTTATGGAGCTCCTTTTCGAGATATTTAATTTTTTAAAAATGGTGAAAAAAGGCTGACTCTGTCTTTTACCTTATATTTGCATTGGTATTATTTGGGTCTCAAATCGAAAGAAAAGAAATCTAGAAATAAATGGTATTTCTCTATTTGTTGGCAGATGAAGATGTAACACTATTTCAAACAGAATTAATCCTTGAACTTTTTAGCACAGTAAATGTCAATAAGAAAGCAACTCAACCATACAAAACCCCCATAAAAACACCAAGAGGTCAATGTACGAGTTTTAACACTAGACAGGTGCCTGTACCATATGTCATGTCTGAATTTGCCCCGAGTATAAACAAATTGTGAATAAAAAACAGAGTCACAAGATTTTTGGTGAAAGTTGCAACAGTTTTGTTTATATGTTTCAAGGTAAACCTTATTCATATGAATAATTAATCAATCTTTTTATCTAAATTTTGTGACCTTGCTTTTGCAAGTATCTCTCTGTTTATAAGGACTTGTTTGTGTGAGTCACTTGCAAATTGTGCGTCTATTTTGTATGAACTAGTCAATTGTGCATCTCATTTTTCTCTTTTCTTTGATTTCAATAGTCAGGATTTTACAAATACTTACAATCACCACCTGACTATGGTTTTTGTCTCTTGTCTTGGCTTTTATGAACCATTTATTGCACATTCAGTATTCCATAACCATTTTTATCAGGATACTTTTACAATGAATAACTTACTTTCAAAAACAACACCCAAATAATCTCCTTCCTTTGAAGCTTTACATTTGTTGATGATCATTTTATCTGTTCCTTCCTAAAAAAATAGACAATATATATATATATATATATATATATAAGAAAATTTATTCAATCAAAAGAATCATTTCCAACAGAACGGCTTACAACTATTTGCAATTCATCTACAAAAGCTACAAACCATACCAAAGGTATATAACTTTAAAAGTTGTTTTCTTTGCTTAAGTTTTGCAAGGTTACTTTTTTTCAAATTTTGAGGGTATATGAATAAATTAGTAGACAATGCAAAAACAAATGTATTGTTTAGTACTGAAAATTATTCTTTGATGAAACAGCTTGATTATGATAACTTCATCTATGATTTTCCTTAACAATCTTGATTTCAATACTGGGGATTTGGATGTGCATTTTTTGTTATGATGGTTTCAATAGAATATTATGGGAGCAATTTTTGTTGTTTGAAGACAAAATTGTACACCAAAAAGATAAGTGTTTTTGAAGCATTATATAAAGGAGATGAAGTATTTCCAATAAAAATTGCTAAAACATATCAAAGTGTCTAAAATATCTTTCTTTTAACAAGAATGAAGAACCTTTAAACAATCTTTATAGTATGAACATTTAAAATGATTAGAAACAAAAGGTTAGTTAAATTTCCCTTTCATTAAATCAAAACCTGAAACCTGTTATACATATTTAAAATAAAACAGTTATTACATTTTTTTGTAATTTTACCATCAATTACAAAAAATTGAGTACAACATTTTTGAATCAAATTTTACTACAATTTTTAATACAGAAAACATACAAAACCAAGAATTTGAAGATTGCATTTTTGTCATTAATTAAATTAGAAAATCCAAAATGCCTGTATTGCTCGCCAGGTACCTTGTCACTATGTTCAATTTTAGGATGATTTTTAAAATAATCCTAAAAGGAAAAAGTGGTTGCCCTGTTTGATTGTAGTTATGTTTTTCATTTTTCTTGAGAATGATTTTTATTTTTGTTTATCATTTACCCCATAAAATTTATTTATAGCAAAAATGTAACAGAAATAATGTTCATTATAATTCAAGTTGGCATGGTCACCATTTTTTATAGAAAACATTCTACAGATAGTTAAGGCCAAGTATATAATTTGAAACTGCTAACAATAAAATTCTTACCAAAAAATAATCAAATATGATGATGAAATCCTTATGAAATGAATAATATTTTTAATATTTTTAACAGAGTTTCTGTAATAATGAAATTCCTCTTTAATCCAGGTAAAAGACAGCATACAAGTTTTTCCTTTATCTTGATTAAGGAAATATACAGGTAGATTACAAGGTTGACAGTAATACACAGTTTTATCTACACTCCCCCTGACGTACCTACAGTCACATCATACACTTACCTGCAGAGACATTCTACTTGATTGACGTGTACTTAAAGGCATCTGCATTAATGTTCCAAAATATTTAATAAATTTATGTAACAAGATTTATGCTTACAGTGACAAAAAAACATGTATATGCTTTATTTCAATAGCATTATTCTTATAATCTGTTAACTTAAAAATGTAAAGGATATAGCAAAAACTTCAGTAGTGAAGACCCTAAATAAAAACTTTATAAGATGCTATGACTTGTAGTTGCCAAGAAAAACGAATTGTGAACAGACAGATGTAAACAAGCTAGTATACCCCCTCCCTTTGGAACGAAGGTATAATTTCAATTACATTTAACCATTCCTAAAAATAAATATAAAGAATATGAAATCATCAATTTTTTGTTTATATTAATACAAAAAATTACACTTTATTTTTGCGTTTAGGAAATTAAGACTCCTGGATTTGAATGTGCATTTTTTTGTTGTTGCTATGGACGGTTTCAGTAGAATATTATGGGTGCAAAACTTTGTTATTCATAGACAAAATTGAACATTACAAAGGAAACTTTTCTGAATTACAATACATGTATAAATAAAATCAAGTATTTTCACTAATAAAAACTGTGAAAACATAGCCAAATGTGTTAAACGTCTTCCTTATAACATGAAGGAAGCACCTTCCAACAATCTGACTTTAATGTATAACATATAAAATTATTGGATAGCTTTTTTCCATTTATCAAAGCAAAACCTCATACCTGTTATATGAAATGAAACATTTATTATATATTCAGATACCATCAATGATCTGATGTACAGATACAGCCACATCATACACTTACCTGCAGAGACATTCTACTTGACTGACGTGTACTTAAAGGCATCTGCATTAATGTTCCAAAATATTACATAAACATTGAACATTATATGTATGTTACAACCTTAATGCTTACAGTGAGTGACAAAAATACATGTATATGCCTTGTTTCAAAGGCAACTGTCTTAACTGTAACAACTTAAAACTGTAAAGGATATAGCAAAAACTTCAGTAGAGAATACTCTAGAAAAAACTTTACAAGTCTTATATATCAAGCTGCTATGACTTGTAGTTGTCAAGAAAAATGTGACAGAAATATGTTATGAATGGACAGATGTAAAAAAGAAAGTATATCCCCTTCTTTGGAATAAAAGTATAATTTCAAATAAATTTTACACATTGATAATACATATAAAGAATAAGAAATCGGATTGGGTGCCCTATTTTGCATTTATATTCTTACAAAAAAATACACTAATCAAACTAATATTCCTTTATTTTTGTTTATATTGCATTAATAATGCACAAAATATGATTATTTCTTTACAAAAACAATGAAAACTGCAATTTTGAAGTGTTTTTTAAAAGAGAGAAAATTTCTATTTTGTTTTTAAAGTATGGGTTATCTCCCATTGAATAGGTATAAATAACACATGAAATTTCTAGCCTGTTACTGGTGTTGAGATAAGAATGGTCCTAAACGGTTTATCTAAAATTTCAATACAACCATTCTGGAATTAACATACATTTGAAATCTGATTTATCAAAGAGAATGCAAGTTTATTTATGGTCAGATCATATGCTTTCGTACGTCATATGAATTCGTACTATGCATGCTTTTTCAATGGAAATTGTGACATCACCATGCATTCTTAATAGCACGAAAACCCATGAGACAAGGATACATTTTAAAGTAAAAAACATATCAAATTTACTATAAACAGGAATTCACTTGAATAAGCACAAAATCTATTCTACAATTTAAAGAAATTTTGGGAATTTTTCCTAATGTTTTTCCTAAAAGTATCAAAATTTTCACTTAAATTAGTTTGTTCTTTCCAAATCAAAATCAAGAACCCATTAGGAAGAAAATGAATTAAGTTCGAAAATCTGTAAAGAATATAAGATAATATTGTATGTGATTTACCTGGTGTTCATTCAAATGTTTCAGCAGATACAGTTTATCACCAGAGAATGCATGTAGTCTAGAAAACCCTATAAAAATAAAACTTAAAATTTTAAATAATCTGTAAATTAAATACTTTATTTCATATACAATGTATAAAAGAAAACGGTAAATGACTTTTATTTGTGAATTTCAAAAGTGATTGCCAAAATATTGGTTTTTAAATTCAGGGTTTCAGATTTTATAACAAATTCCATGGAAAATATTTATCTGAATGTCTAAAATAATATCATTACAAATGCATCCTTAATTTTCTAATCGTTATCATGGTTATTTGAAAAATAACTCTTAAAGATGAAAACCCGAAAAAATTATTTTGAAAAGTATTTTTGACTAACCATGTGGCATTTAGGAGTATTAAAGAGCAAACAATGGTTGGCTCACAGTCAAAATAATGTGTCAAAATGGATTAACATGTCTTCCAGCAAACAAGCATGATCAGGATCCAGCTCAGCAAGTTAAAATAATAGGTCTTGTACCATCTTTGCTAGCCAAGGGTTACGATCCAGTCCCCTCATCTCTACCCTTGGCAGATTTAGCCAACATCTGTGATTACAATGTTGCGCCATCTAACGAAAGATAAAGTCATGCCCATTCCGACTACATCATTCTTGACCAATGGCAGCACTTGAAATCCCTTCAATGTGGAGGTTTAAAAATGGTTGTGTCTAGTGTTTACAAATTTCATAAACAGAACATATACGTTGACATTCCAACATTTCCACTAGAACTGTACACAGGAACTTCAATTAGTTGATTAAGACCTTTAAAATTGTCAATAAATATCGTCCTATGATTTGGGGGTAAAGAATTGTTGCAAATTCAGCACGTGGCAATTGTTTATTTACATTTTCTACATTTACATGTGATCATCTTATAAGAGCTTTTTGATTGGATGCAGCCATCTATAACTGCGACCAATGGAAACCATTACCTCATGGATCAAAATTCTATCTTAATCCGCCAAGGGTGGAGAGGAGGAGACTGGATCGTAACCCTTGGCTAGCGAAGATGGTCTTGTACATGGCAGGGTTCTTATTCATATCAAATTAGCATATTCTCATTCTGAATATGCATATAATATTTCCACTGGATGTTAATCATTGATCCTTTGTTAATCATCCATCATACATGCATGAATATCCTTTTTTCAATAAAATTTTTATTTGAATTTATTAATATAGGTCATTATAACTTACCCATATCATCAATAGATACAAGAAGATATACATTTGGTGCAATTATATGTGCCCTAATATACTGGAGATCTACTCTGTCTTCTTCCCATAATGTCACCTTCTCTTGAGTATTAGCATCAATCACAATAATTCCTTTAGAATGGCCTATAAACATGTAAAGACCATCTCCACTATCTGTCATACATCCACATTTACGCAGGTACTGTACAAAAAAATAGTTAAAATATATATATCATGTATACACTGACAGATAAAATACATTTTCTCAATTTGTCTTGCATTGTTTTGTATTTTTCAGTTCACAAACAGTTTAACTCACAAATTTTGTTACTTGAAAAATAATACAATATACATTTATATGTTAAATGAAATATGTATGATGGTTAAACTTAATCTGAGGTTGACTTAAATTACACAAGTAAATAAAAATGAACCTCCAGAGTCAAGAGGACACAATACATGCATATATCCTCAGGTTTGAGTCTTTGAGCATTTTAATACAAGTTTTTATATCTTTAGTTCTCAGTTTAACAATAAGTTGCACAGTTCTGCAAGTTTCTGTAGTTCTTATAGTGTGATCAATTCTACATATTTCCAGCTTTTACCTAAATTGTGCATTTTTGCTGAAATTTTTATATCTTTAATTTGAGTGCACCGTTTGACTTTTACTTGCATAACTGTATGGTTTCCATAGTATATAATACATATATACATATCTATACTATATTTTCATAATTTTTTGTACCTTCCTTTTGTGTATAAACACACAAAGTTTTTTGCAATTGTTTGATGAACTCCGAAGCAATACTTTATGTGTATGAGCAAGCACAGTACTAGTTTTACAAATTATTTGATGAACTTTACTTTATAAGATCATTAAAGAAAAAAAGCATACACAGTTTAATAATTGTTTGATGAACTTGGCAGCATTATTTTACACAAGAAGCATGCACAGTTTTACAATTGTTTGATGAAATTTGCAGCATCACTTTGTTAGTATCAGCATGCAGTTTTTCAATGTGTTGATGAAATTGTTGATAACCTTAAAGTATGATTTCAGAAAAATTCAAGTTGTAATTTTTATTTTCATGAATAAAACAATAAGCAATGGTATTTAAAATAGCTATTTTTCATTCTATAATGATATGTTATCATGTAACTTTTCATTCTACCATGTCAATTAATATAATTATATGTATGCAATAGGTCTTAACCATTTATTGTTAATGAGTTTGTGCCAATAAAATATTTGTATTTGTATTTGTATTTATATGATTTCATGCACCTTACAAGAAATAACTGCTGCAAATTATTGTTTGTTATAAGTTGAATTAACTAAATGGGGTTTCTACCTCTAAACTTTTTGTATTTTCATGTCGAGGTGGTCGAACTTTTCTACTCTCTTCAAGTCTTTCATTCTCTCTAGACTCAACTATATCCCATACATCTTCAACTAACTGTCCCAGAACCTTATCAATCATTCGATAAGGTTGTGGAAGTGGGTCTTTCAGTTGGTCAGGGTCAGTAATGTAATCATCTTCATCTTCCAGTGGAATTTTGTCCAAAGATGGTGGTGTAAAATTTACATTTTTTCGAATGTAAACAGGCATTTTCAAGCAAACAGTAGTTCTGGGATTAAAATTTAAACAAAAGGGTTATTAGATGTGCATATATGATGTTAAATTATCATCAGTGCATATTTTAGTGATCTGTGGATATTATTCTGTTTCCAAGTCGGACATGTTACCGGAAATGAAAACAAACACCTTCGGAATCATAGACATCGGACTTTTAGATAGAAATTAATTATGACTCTCAAGATGTACCGATGTTGTAACCTTTGACCTTTTTGCTGGAAAGGGAACCTGTAATTTTCAAATTATCTAGCTGCGATTGTCATTGACCATGTCTTCACACTCAGATCTAGCTACTCAGATTGTGAAATTTGGAGCACAGACGAATGGGAGAGACAAGCTATTCAGGTGAGCTTTTCCAATGGATAAAAGAAAATTAGTGAATTTTGATTTTAAAGTTCAATATGTAGGACGTTAAGGACAAATTATTTTAATGAAAAGTTCAATAAGTAGATTATTAGAAACTGGATCAGCAGTCGCTATCATTTTCTGGGACATTTGACCTGGGGCATAATATACTATTAGTATACTATTCCCAGATTTGACGTAAGATATTGTAATGATATCAGTTATTTGTAGTTACTTTTTAACTTGATTATCTTTAGGCACTAGCTGGCTACAATAAAGTTAAAAAATCGTCATTACATTTAAGACTTTAATTGCCAAAATTCAAGGTCTGGCTGGGACATTATATATTGTCAGTATAATAGTCCCAAGGTTGGGGTTAAGAACCGAATTATTATGGACGTAGCAAAAATATTTGTGTTTATTATACCATGTATACGGTTAGGTATCTGGTCGTTCCATCCCAAACCGATCCGGCCCCAAGTCGATCTGGCCCAAAGTCGATCCGTCCCAAGTCGATGCGGCCCACGTCGATCAGGCCCAAAGTCGATCCGGCCCCATAATAAAATATGAATAAACTATATTGACTTTGGAGGATTTTGTGACAAATTTTAACAGTATAAATGGAATTTGCAAAAAGTATCGATGATGGATGACAACAGGTAAGTGAAGTATTATTGGTGTACCAGTCAAAGAATTATGTTACCCGTAAATCGATACGAAACTGAGTGTGATTGTGTCTGTTTGTATAGCAGCTTCAACATATTAATATGAAGTTATTTTCCATGATAACTTTGAATGTCATGGCGATTTTTATCTTATTTAATTCACACACAGAATAGCTAAATAAATATTTACAGTTCAATGGAACTTATAAAATTTAACTCATCATATAATGACTTGTTTAATCAAATCATTAGTCTATAATTGGTTTGTTTATTCAACAATTGTCTGATGATTGTGAACTAAGGTAACGCCACTCGTAATCACTGAATTCAATCAAATCCTGATTGATTAAAGTTACGTAATTAACAAGGTCTTTATAGTTTGATCTTTAAATTTGTTTGGTGTTATGTGTTATAATAATTAATTTTTTTTTTCAGGTAACATCAGAGGCTTCTATAACCTGAGACTACTATAACACAGTAGTCTCAGCTATAACACATGTTGTTTTTTTGTAATATCGAATATAGTTAATATATTTTTTTTAAGTTGACAATATTTTGAATAGTTCTGTGTAGATAAAAAAAACAAGTTATATGAGTATCCATTATTCTTTATTGCAAGACTCCTCTTTTATAGAAAGGATTCGGCAAATCAAACAACATTTCTCAATTTGAGAAGTTTTAAGAACTTAAAACAAAAACAAAGTTTGTATGTATCAGCTTGGGGATCGGCTTGCACCGTTGTGTATGTAACTATTTGTTATTACACAGGATGAAAGACTTGTTCAGATCACAGTCAATTGAAAGAAAAATGCAAATTACTGCTGATTAATGTTGATGTCTGTTGATTGTACTAAATTCTGTTATATACGTTTTTATTATAATTATACCCAATAATCTTGAAAACTTGTAATGAAAACATAATCATCCTACTTGTTTTATACTCTATCTAAAGAAAATATTTGTCAAAGGCCATCTTTTATTACCGTACACCTTTTACATTATAATAAAATTAATAAACATTTATGAATTACAATTAATATTCCTATTTTTAATCCTTATAAATATATTTTTTTATTGGGGCCGGATTAACTTAAATATGGGCCGGATCGACGTTGGGCCGGATTGACGTGGGACGGATCGACTTGGGCCGGATCGACGTGGGGCCGGATCGACATGAAACCTACGGTTACATAAATTGTGTTATTGTTAAGTTAGATTTAAAAAAAACTTTAACAGACTAGTTTTGTTGCTTAATTATCTGATATGCTTGGTTATTATAATTATTATTACAATAATTATTACATTTCAACAAAAAATGTTTTAATAAATAGATTTTAACATTTGTTAAAGTAATAATTATTTTAATGTTTTTCAAGATAATAGTTTTGTAGTCCCAAAGGAAAATCTTGATGTTTAGGAGAATAGAGTTCACTAGTACTCATATGTATTTATTTTCAAGCTTACCCTTATTACATGTATTACTTTCTCTTATACTTTAAACAATGGAAGAAGTTATTTCCATTACCAATTTTGCGTATGGTTAAAAATTTCAAATTTTTAATGCATTTGACTCTAGACTGCAAATATTTTAAGATTCAAATTTTGTACAGGAGTATAAACTAAGTTCGCCAAAAAGCAATGCTTCAAAAGCGAAGTTTGAAAGTTGTATCTCTGCTGACAGCAATGAAATCAAATATTGTGAACTTGTATATGAATGTATCCATAGAGGAAATAATTTCGTTTTTGTTTCTTTGACTTATGGTTTATTATGAGGGTGGTAATGGGGGTACCTTCATGACGAATAACGGTAAAAAATCTAGCCAAATGACGTTAACGGTAATTTTTGGTGCATGACGATAAAATGAAGACTTTCTTCAAGACGATAAAAAAATCGACAGATTTTGACGAATCACGTTAATTTTTTCCCAAAAATAACGGTAACGATAATTATTTGAGACCTCTGACGAATCACGATAAGGATGTGTTGACGAATCACGGTAAAATGTTGACGCTAACGGTAGCCGAAAATGACCGTTTGACGCCTGACGGTAAAGGGCATTCATACCCTCTATTATCACCTTATGGTATCTTCTACCTCCATTTTAAAAGATAAAAGTTTTTAAAAAAAAACATTTTTACTTTAAACAATGACCCAAATGTCACCAACAATAATAGAATAGAGAATGGAAATGGGGAATGTGACAAAGAGACAACAACCCAACCAAAGAGCTAAAACAGCCCAAAGCCACCAACGTGTCTTCAATGCAGTGAGAAAATCCCACATCCGGAAGCGGGCTTCAGCTGGTCCCTAAACAATAATGTATACTAGTTCAGCAAAATGAACGCCACACTAAACTCCCAAACATACAAATTAAATGAACCAAAATTTTAAAATAAAACACAATTTAACAAAAGGCTAAAGCTTCCTGACTTGGGACAGGTGCAAAAATGCGACAGGGTTAAACATGTTAAGTGAGATCTCAACCCTCCCCCTATACCTCAAGCCAATGTGGAATAAACAAACACAGCAAAACGCACAGTTAAACTCAGTTAAAAAGAAGTTCAAGTCAGTTGTTAGAAAAGATAACAAAAGAAATTACACTAAGCAAAATGATAAACACATATTAACAAAGGAGTGCTAGCCGTTACTAACATGCCAGCTCCAGACTTCCAGCTTCCAGAGCTCCAAAAATTATGTCTTCATCGTATGAAAATCAACCGCAATCCCTCCTGTTAGGGGTTTAGTATCATGCCATCATAAATTATACGAGAAGAACATAACATGATCATGCCAACAACTGGCTTTAGAATAAATGTGTTTATTTCCGATGCAAAGACCCTATGAGTGAATCAATATTAATTCCAAAAATTTATCATAACTATATCCCTTGTGGATAAGTCTGTTTATAGGTTTGGTTAGTTTTCAAAGTGAATGATGACTTTTTGTGCATTGTATAGAATTTTACCATAAAAGATGGGATGTGCAATGCCTGAACATATAAGATGTCTGCATGTTGATTTACTTCATGTATTTATGAATGATGTCCTTGTAGTGATGTTAAAATTTAGTAAAAGTTTACGATATCTAAAACCCTGGTGTAATAATTTTTCAGTAATACTGAGATTTCTTTCGTTAAAATCAAATACGTTGTTACATACACAAGCAAATGGAACAAGTTGAGATAGTATCATAGAACAGCATTGCAGAATCATTTGAGCTATTCTTTTCTGACTCTATGTGAATTTGAGCAAATAACCAGAATGCTCACTTGTGAAAAATTGATACGCTTACATAACAAAATTTCTAGACTCTTTCCTGCATGCATTTACACAAATCTAAAATTCTTCTCCACTAAACAGCTGGACCAATTGGAACAAAACTTGACCACAATCATCCTTGGGGTATTTAGTTTAACACTTAAACATTCATCATCTTGTTTTAAATATATTGCATCAATCAATTGGTTATCAATGATTATAATTAATTGTATATTAATTTGTTAATTATAATATGAATGGTAGGATCAGATAAGGGCACCCTATTAAATTTGTTAAAATAAACTTGTCATGAAGATGATTTGGTAACCCAGACATTTGCTTACAGTACCCTTAATTTATTAAATTTTTTTTGTAGATTATTACAGTATGGAAGTAAACTAATATCCTGGTACCTACAAACAGACCAAGGAAAACTGGAATTTTTGGAAAAACTGAAAAAATTAGAAACATCTATGAGTATGACAAGAAAATGTAAGATTACAATGCACATGTTAAATATTTAATGTATGACTGGAAAAAATATAACAAAACAACAAGTTGAAATTATATGAATAATTAGATTTGAAAGAACCTCTATTATATGACAACTTTTCTGAATACATAAAAATAACCAAATATGCCACTGAATTCAATTCTACATACAAATGTATTATAGAATAACAAATTAGAAGATGTGGTATGATTGCCAAATGAGACAAATCTGCACCAGAGACCATAAGATGTAGAAGTTAGCATCTGTAGGTCACTGTATGTACAACCTTCAACCATGAGCAAAACCCATACTGTATAGCAAGCTATAAAAGGCCCCAAATGGCAAATGTAAAACAAAACAATTAATGTAAAGCAAATATAATATACTACAATAAACACGGAACTACACATTATAGAAGTACACTCTACAAACCCATTAACAATGAAGGGTTTTATTTTTAATCAAATTACAAAAAGTGTCTTGTAAATAATGTGTCAATTGTATGCAATTTTTTTTTAAAGGACACAATCACAGTTTTTCACACTCATTTATGTTACATGTACATGTGTATATTGAACTAAAATCTCCCTGAAAGCTCTGTGTTTCCAATTTTTATATTCATTACTGGTACAATGTACATGTACCTAAATGTGGTAATTTTTGTGTCCTTGTTCCATGCCTTTACAACTTAGATCGTTTACTTCTTGTGACTTATACAAATCCTATGAAAAACACACCAATAGTTGCTGTGTTTGAAATTAAGGTGGTGATGCATGTTCACATGCTATTACATGTATTAAGTCAATGTATCTCTTTTTAAGAGGTTAAACTTTTTTGTGGTGGGGTGCTGATTTATTTCCCTTTTGCTTCCTCTTTCCAATTTGTGATACTTTTAAAATTGAAATGTGTGCCAGTTTTGTAAAAGAGTCTGTGTGTTAAAATTAATTTTTTGTTGTGTAATGAGGGTTTAGGTGGGGTTTCCAGAACAGAGAAAGATGGGCAAAAAAGAAGAATAGAGGTTAATGGGATGCTAACTTTTTTTAAATATGAAGAATAGAGAAAAATGGACTACAAAATTAAAAAATTACAGAAATTAAGACTCTTTGTCCTATTCAGACCCTATAACATTGCATGATCATATTTCTACAGTTTATTTTTAAATAATTTCAAGTTTATATATGTATGATATTAAATTAAAAATATATCATTTCAGTACTGAGATTTGGGAAGAGTTTAGACTTTATTCTGGCAGCTTTAAAGACAATCCATTTATCAGATCCAGTACTGAAATTAACAATTACAATGTCAAAACTTGCACAATCCGTGTTCCTCATATTTGATCACATCATATTTGCGCACAACTTAGGAATCATCAAAGCTGATAAAGAAAAATGGTCCAGATATTCATCACAGTGCTGGTTATTTAGCTTAATCTTGAACTTACTCAGAAATTCTTACGATATTTTGTCCATTATTTCCAATGAGGCCAAAGCTCAAGAAAATCGTCAGAGAAGGGGCCAGTATGTAAATGGTGGAATTGATCAGAGCGTCTCATCACGAAAACCAATGGGAAGAGTTCAGATTTTAAAGAAGTGTTGCTATGAAAACCAGCCTGTAGTGTTAGACTTTATAAAAAATATGTCAGATTTGGTGCTTCCGTTAAATTCTTTAGGTAAAATTAAAGTTTCTGGTGGTATTCAGGGCTCCTTAGGTTTACTGTCATCTGCTATTGGTATTGCCACAGTTTGGAGCCCCATACTGAAATTGGTGCCATGAAGATATAAAAGATTGCTGATATACTATTCAAGATTTCTGTGATATTTTTGTTTCAGATGTCAAGTTTTATTTGTTAATGATTGAATAACTTTAGTTTATATTGTTCATTACTGATATTCTCAACCTTAAATTACAACAAAGTCGTATGAGGTTTACGAAATAGGTAAATATGGAAATACAAAGATGCCAAGATCACCAAAACCAGAAATTGGATGTCTTATATGATAGACAAGAAACCAACTCTGTATAGTAAGATTTATATTTTTTTTTTGTACATGTTTTTGTATGCTTTGATAGACAGTATTCACTGTAGAAATAACATTGAGCAAATGGGGATATTTTGCCACATATTTTTTCTAATTTTCATGGTATGGATGACAATCATAATAGTAAAGTTCTATTTCATTGGATGGAAATTTTTATGAAAATTATGGTTCATAATAACCATAAAATATCAAATACCCAACAAAATCAAAAACATTCATTTACACATTAATGTGATGCGCTTTAAAAACTTTTAAAAATAACAATGTAGTATTGTCTTCCTCAAACTACGAAAAGGAGTCAATTAATATTTCAAATGAACATGCATAGTGCACTCATGAAATTGTTTTTCAGAACATAAATGTTAAAGAATGAGAGGACTCTAAAATTTTAGATGCTGTTAGCACTTTGTTCATGTTGTTGACAATCTTTCAGTGCTAGGTACTGGAAACTAGTTGGTGCATAATCCATTTTAAATTGCAGGATACTATTTTTAATTTTAAAAAATAGGAGAAGTGCAGTTTTATGATTTTGTTATGATGATCCATATGGTTTAAAGTGAAATCCACTACATGTTATATTATACAAGTCCTTGCCAAATTGAGTTTTTCACCAGGTCTGATTTTCTTTCATCAATTATGTAAAGGTAAAAAACTTTTAATTAAAGGCAATTTTTGGTACTTTTCAGGCTAAATGCTACGTCATATTTATTTTCTTCTTTTGAAAACCAAATTATAACTCAAAATTAAAATTTATAACAACATTTGTACCTGAAAAAAAACAAGGGAAAATAAAAATTATAATCCCAATCTTATTTATGCACTTGCCAAGTCAAAAAATAATATCATAAAAGAATATAAATAATGTAAGTGCAGATTTTACTGACTCAGACCTGTTTTATGTTTAAAAGGAAATATTTGGCATGGCCTAATAGTGATTTAAAGATGCACTAATTGTATTATTTAATTTAACTAATCAACCAGCTTTTAGTATCTATTCAGTAAATATCTATCAGAGCAATAGGTTGTCTGTAGATGAAACATCATTGTGTAGTTAGACAGAGGTTAAAATAAAATTCATGTCAAGAAATAATTAGACCCAATCATAAACAAAATATTGCTTGTATTGATGACCATATCCTTTGTTGTCATTGTATAGTCTTAAGGGAACGACCATTTATCTTCAAGGGGGGTTATGGTTTTTTCCTAAAAAAATATTCTGATCCCCAATTTGATGAAAAAAAATATTGTGGTTAAGCAGATAACAAAAAAAAATATTCTGAATCCAGATTTTCCCCATACCTTATTGTGTTAAATTTTGAAAAAAAATAACTTGATTGATAGTGTCGAAAAACTAAAAAATATATTCGGGCTTTGTGAGAAAAAAAATTTCTGACTCAGACAAAAAAAACATAACCCCCCCCCCCCCCTTGAAGTTAAATGGTTGCTCCCTTAGTATTTATATTATTTTTGGATAGAATTGTCATATTTTCAACCCTAACAAAGCATAGATTGTATTAGAAAAATCTGTATGATGTTGATCCTTCTTTCAAATTTTTGTTAAATCATTTTAATTTAGTTTTGCGACAGATACCATTTACACTGTACATGCAAAAACCTGTATTATTGCAGTAAATACCTTACAGACATGATCAAATTCTGTAGTTTACTAAAATAACAGGGAAGATCCATTATCTACTTCATGCATATATGAGGGTAGGAATGCCCTTTACCGTCAGGCGTCAAACAGTCATTTTCGGCTACTATTAGAGTCAAATTGATTAAAATTTTATCGTGATTCGTCTAAATATCCTTATCCTGATTCGTCAGAGGACTCAAATATCCGTTACCATTATTTTGGGAAAGAATTTAACATGATTAGTCAAAATCAGTTGATTTTTTTATCATCATAAAGAAAATGTACATTTAATGGTCATGCACCAAAAATTACCGTTAACGTCAGTTGGCAAGATTTTTTACCGTTATTCGTCATGAATGTACCCCCATTACGACCCTCATATATGATTTACAATAATATGAACTTGCAATTAGTCAACTATAGATACTAAGATAGTCAATATTTTTGAAGAAATAATATTTGAATTCGTGAAAAATGGTTTTGAAATGATTTTTACTACATGTATTACATCAAAAGTCAACTTTATTATAAACAGTTTTTGATCATGTAAAAGCTAAATTTCATTTTATGTTTTGAAGATTTAATTTTCAAATGTGTTAATGTGAAATAATGGTCTATGGTTATATCACGAAACTTTATTTTTATTATTATTGACTCTAATAACACAGGTACAGAGATGTACATGTATGAGGGTCTGGAGGGGGTTTACAGAATAGTAGAAACAATTAATGGGCCAAAAAATAAAGATGGGTAAAAATGGGCAAAAAAATAAAGAAGAATAGAGAAAATTGGGTATTACAATATACTAAACAGAGAAGAGAATAATAAGGTGCCAAAATAAACAGAATATAGAATAATAAGCAAAAATAATCAAGAATACAGAAATGAAGTCACACCCCTCACCCATCCCCTCTCACCATATTCTACAATAGCTCTTGATGCTTTCTTATTCATTTCAGTCAAAAAAGTGCCAGGTATTGATCGTGTTATGCTTCATCATTGTACCTACAACAATGTATACATGTATTATCAGCAAAAATATTCAGGGTCAGAAATAGATTCAGTTCAAATATCAAATCAAATCAAAATCTTTACTGTCATTTGACTAAAAAAAAATAAATTTGTTCAAATCAAACAATAAACAATGTTTTCAAAAATATACATAAGTAGATACAGACTTAACTATTTTGAAAATTCTCTATCCTCAGGTTGGGGTAAATAAAATATTCCTTAAAAATTATTCATGCACCTATTCAACTTTAACATTTTCGTCTTATTTTTGTAATTATAGATAATGCAGTTATGTATACCATTTTCTTGAATGTTACAATGTGAAATATAATTGTCATTTGCAGATTTATGTAGAAAAGGTCCATGTATATTGCAAGCTTGTCAGAAAAAGTTTTAAAATTGATTTTTCACATTGAAATAATTTATTGTCATTTGCAGTATTATTTCACATAATCCAATGTGCTTTGTATATTTTACAAAATGTTCCATAAATTGAAACATAAACCTATATTATTTCATTGATTCATAATACTTTACAGCCAAACATATGATTTATCAGTGAATTTAGCTTTATAAACAAGAACATAACTAAATCACTTTCCTGCAAGCAGTCTATATACTTTTTAACTACTCGGATTTCTTTATATGGTGTAAATACGTCCTAGGCAAAAAAAGCGGGCTCAGTAGTTTTGTGCCCTTTAAGAATAATTTTGCTTGCAATTTTGGAACTGAGTTAAGAAAATCTTGTTTGTAAAAAGTTGCAGGTCAAGCATGTTGTAAAATTATAGTTGTTGTACATGTAGTAATAAAACCTCCATCCTTTAAAACTGAAAATCAATTGGGAGTTAAAGATGACTTCTTATTAATACATGCTATATAATGTATGCTATATAATGTTTTTCATGTACAAAATTGAGTTGAATATATATATTCAGATTTATGGTTAATAATTTATGCCATATTCATGCTTATCCATAATTATTTTAATTTATATGATTGTTTTTAATTTTATACAAATGGCAGCATATTAATAATAAAATGAAAGAAAATTCCAATAGTTTCACATTATTTTTAACTCTCTATGGTTGATGTGGTATTTTCATTTATTGTGCACAATCAAAAAGGCAGAAATTTAAGGCTTTTCTGTTGGCATACATCCATCAGTCAGCCAATTTATTGGACGGCAAGAAAGTATGCCACACTAAGGTTTTTTTATGCCCCCGTCGTAGCGGTGGGGGCATTAAGTTTTACCCTTGTCCGTCTGTGCGTACGTACGTACGTCCCAAAATTGGTTTCTGTTCTCTAACTTGAGTTTGCCTCAACCAAATGTTATGAAACTTATACACAATGCTTATTACCACAAAACACAGATCAAGTTTGAATTTTGGTGGCGTCACTTTAACCGTTCTGGAGTTATGCCCCTTTATAAATGGAAAAATTGCAAAATTTTTTGTTTCCGTTCTCTAACTTAAGTTTGCCTCAACCAAATGTTATGAAACATATACACAATGCTTATTACCACAAAACACAGATCAAGTTTGCATTTTGGTGGTGTCACTTTAACCGTTCTAGAGTTATGCCTCTTTATAAATGGAAAAATTGCAAAATTTTTATTTTCTTCTAAATATCAAGTAATTTTTTAAATTGGAGTTATCTTCCTTTGTCCATGATTATAGTTGAATCAAGTACAATAAATGCTTTATACAATGCAATGTTTAATTTTGACTTCCACTGATAAAACACAGATCAAGTTGAATTTGGGTAGTGTCACTTTAACCATTATTGAGTTATGCCCCTTTATAAATCGAAAGATTGCAAAATTTTTAGTTTCCATTCTGTAAATTAAGTTTGCCCCAACCAAATATTATGAAACCTATACACAATATTCATTACCACAAAACTAAGATCAAGTACAAATTTTTTGTTTCCGTTTTCTAACTTTAGTTTGCCTCAACCAAATGTTATAAAAATTTATACACAATGCTTATTACTACATAATACAGATTAAGTACGAAATTTGGTGAGAACACTTTTACCATTCTTGAGTTATGTCCCTTTATAAACATAAAAATTGCTGAATTTTTCGTTTCTTTACTAACTTTAGTTTGTCTCAACCAAATGTTATGAAACATATACACAATGCTTATTACCACAAAACACAGATCAAGTTTGAATTTTGGTGGTGTCACTTTAACCGTTCTAGAATTATGTCTCTTTATAAATGGAAAAATTGCAAAATTTTTATTTTCTTCTAAATATCAAGTAATTTTTAAAATAGGAGTTATCTTCCTTTGTCCATGATTATAGTTGAATCAAGTACAATCAATGCTTTATACAATGCAATGTTTAATTTTGACTTCCACTGATAAAACACAGATCAAGTTGAATTTGGGTAGTGTCACTTTAACCATTATTGAGTTATGCCCCTTTATAAATCGAAAGATTGCAAAATTTTTAGTTTCCATTCTGTTAATTAAGTTTGCCCCAACCAAATATTATGAAACCTATACACAATATTCATTACCACAAAACTAAGATCAAGTACAAATTTTTTGTTTCCGTTTTCTAACTTTAGTTTGCCTCAACCAAATGTTATGAAACTTATACACAATGCTTATTACTACATAATACAGATTAAGTACGAAATTTGGTGAGAACACTTTTACCATTCTTGAGTTATGTCCCTTTATAAACATAAAAATTGCTGAATTTTTCGTTTCTTTACTAACTTTAGTTTGTCTCAACCAAATGTTATAAAACTAATATGCAACCGTTCTAGAGTTATGCGTATTTACAAATAGAAAAATTGCTGAATTTTTAGTTTCTGTTCTCTACTTAAGTTAGCCTCAACCAAATGTTATGAGACTTACACACAATGCTTATTACCACAAAACTCAGATCAAGTTCAAATTTGGGTAGCGTCACTTTTACTGTTCTTCAGTTATGTCCCTTTATAACTATATGCTATGCAAGCGGGGGCATCATCTGTGTCCACATGTGGACACTATCCACATATATTTGACATTTCACTCAAACCTTTTGAGTTATCAATTTCATATAAATATGATTTACAAGTGCATCATTGGGATTTGCATTTTAAAAACGTTTTGTTCCAAGTCAATGATTTTTTAAAGAGTTATATAACCTTACAATTTCTAAAATTAACTGGATATTAAGGTTCTCAGCATTATTTTCACAAAATAGATAGTCATGTTACTTAAAGTTATAGATCAATCTTAAGTGCCTTAATGGTTCATCTTTTTTTAATAGAATTATAGCCCTTGATTTTTTGTATATCCTTGTAGTCATTGTTAGGGAAGTTACAGTTTCGTGCAAAAAATTATAATTTTGCTATTCACAACAATTTTTTTTGTCAGATAAACAAAACATTCTTTTTTTTTAATTCTTGGTGCAAACAATTCATTTATTTTTTTCAATATTCAAACTTTTTTGGGGGAAAATCCCAGCCCTCTTCCCCCTTCCAAATCAAATGGTTGCTCCCGAACGTAAAGATGTGAGGTACCTTCTGCCTTAATTACCTTGTGTAAATATTTGTACTTTGGTCGTTATAGATAGTTATCTTTGTACTTTGGTCGTTTTAAATAGTTGATGGTTATTTTTTTCAGTGCCAGGTATGAAACGTTTATTAGTCAGATTTATTACAGATTGGTATTTTGAAGCTTCGTTTGTCTGGAGACAACTACTAGTATTAAAGGCTGACAGATCAGATATAACGCTCTATACTTTCAGTGTATAAACTTTAAAGTATCTCCACTTGGTAACCAGTTGTTCATTATATCTTTATAGTAGATGGGAAGACATTTGTGTCTGAAATAAAGACAGTTTTCTGTTCCTGTTTTGTCTTTTTACCTTGGGAACTTTTTCCCCAGAACTAACTAACAGTCTTTTTTGTTGATAAAGGTAAATAATGAAAGAACAAGGATTGAAATATGGAGAAATATATTTCTTATGATCGAGTTTCGTGCTCCACTTTATCTATAGTCAAGTAACGTACAGTTCTATAAGAGATTTCTAATATAATTACACCTTATATAAGAAAGCCAGATTTTGATTGGTTGATAGCCAGTGTATTTTTCGCATATTCTAATATTTTTTCCTCATTTTAAACGAATTTGACTGTTTTTCACCACTGCCGGTGAATTTGCCTCAAATACCATGGTATTTGCCATTTTGGATATTACCTTTTTACCTGGGAACAGTATATCAATTTATTACATTGGTTGCAATGAATTACATTGATTTCCCAGTGAAATAAAAACCGATAATTTCACATGTGAAATAAACGTGGTTATTTCACTCCTCTGACGTCATACAACAATAGGCGTTGTCAAGACGTCGATAATGCGGATCAAAACAAATTGTAAATGCGTAGAAAAAGATATAGTTCCTTACGTTTTCTACTTTATTTCATAAAAAAGCCATTTGCCAATGTAATAAAAAGAATAGCTAATCAAAATTTTTCGGATATGACGTTGCATAAAAAAGCGAGCTAACGCGTATTAGTACATGTATAATTCCCGGGGTTCTATGATAATATCCTCTTATCCTCAAAATTATGCATAACTTATGACATGTTAATGAATTAGTTTCAATCCAAATCTATTCGGTGTAATTAAACAGATATATCATGTTATGGAGGGGTATTTGCGAAAAATACCAGTCGATGGACCGAATTTCCCTCGCCTAGCGGCTCTGGAAATTTTACAGTCCCTTGACTGGTATTTTTCGCAAATACCCCTCCTTAACATAATATATCTGTTCAAAATGACATACGTACGTAAGTCAACATACGAACCTAATAAGGGCCAATTATTGCCAACCTATGACTTTTGTTAAATACGTTGCCTAAATTTTAACTTAGAATTTTAAGACTATTATCACCAAAGACACCTATATCATCCGAGTTAAAAGTAGTATGTCAGTACGTAACAAAACAATATTGCTCCGTGAACGAAAACACTATCTTTTAATTGTAAGCCAATTGAGTCCAAATACAAAAGAAATTTTCAGTCAAAATCTTTTATTTACCTTACTATATATTAATTTATAGCATTTTATCGATTTTATTGAAAAACAATTTATAGGTCACCGAATTTGTTTAAACTGGGTACATAATTGAAGTGCATTTGTCATAAACATAGGAAAAAATTAAGATAATAAGAATTCGATGCGCAATGCAGGCAAGATGGCACGCTACGTTTTGCCTTTTCGATGTTTTTTCCCCAATTCAGTGCAGAAGACTACGACCTTGTGCAACGCCAAAATATAAGTTTCGACGGGATGTAGTAACACCATGTGTTCATGATTTCATATGTAGTTTGAATATATAGTATACTTAATTTTCAGGCAAATAATACCTGATAATTTGGTAGTGGGTAGATAATGAATATTGATGATAGATGCATGAATGGCTGTATAATGTCCTGTGGCAAGTTTTAAAAATGCATATTCAGGACGAGAACATGTTACTACGATATGAATATGAACCCTGCTGTGTACTAAACCGACATGCTGAGCCGGTTATGAATATTTAAGATACACATGCATGTATATTCAAAACATAAGAAACAAGAGACATCGTGCACCTTCATAGTATCACATTACCATGTTCATTGAACCATTAAATCCGTGTCAAACCCTAATTTAGTATATGATTTTTTTAAATTTTAAATTTGGTACGGGACGGACGAACTGACGGATGCACAGATCAGAATATAGAATATCCACGTGCTAGCATAAGTTGAGCATAAAACTAAAACAAAAATGCGATGAAATATTCCTGGCATATATGTCCGTTTTTCAGACGTATTTGTCTAAGATAAACGTCAAACATTTCATAAAGACAATTTGTGAGCAATGACATTAAATTACACATAAAACCTCTCCCTAGAACCCATGCATCATTATAATTAAAGACAAGACGTAACAGTAAAGTGTAATGATTTTTCTTGAGACTTTTCGTCTCTTTAAATTTTGCAAACTGCCAATCAGTCAATCAACCAATCAATCAGTCAACCCATCCATCCATCCATCCATCCATCCATCCATCCATCCATTTCAACCAATCAATCAATCCAAACAACAAAGCCAACCAACGTAGTCAATCATCGATTAATGAATGCGAAATTTGTCAAACTTGACAGTATGCAACATTTTTATACATTATTGCTGAGGGACCAGCTGATGCCCGCCTCTGGTTGTGGGATTTTCTCGCTGCGTTTAAGACCCATTTGTGGCCTTGGGCTGATTTCTGTTCTTTGGTCGGGTGATGGTCTCTTTGACACATTCCCCGTTCCCATTCTCTATTCTATTTACAAAGGTAGCGACCCTATGAAACTGAATAATTACATATAAACCTATTATAACCCTTTTGAAAAAAACCTACCTACTGTGGATTCATTATTCTTCGTGGGATATCAATGGATTTCGTGGGTATAGGTATACCACGAATTTAAGTATTCAACGAAGTACAAATTTTCAATAGACTTGAATGCAGATTTAGGCAAAACCACGAAATGAAATATCCACGAAATTAATTTTTTCCTCAATCCACAAAAATAGTCATGATCCATGATAATAAATGAATCCACAGTATTTTTTTTAAGTAACTCATTGCATAGCGAATTAGTTTTCTGGACTGCAATAATTTTCGTAGAAGACATTTATTTGGAATTTAAATAATTCATATGTGTTGTTACCTAACCGCTATTTACGGAATGTCTGTAATGTTTTTTCTGTCTATTCGAAATCACCTCAAAAATGTGGTGCACACTTTTAAATAACCCGCTGCGCGGGTTATTCAGTGCGCACCACATTTGTGATGTTATTTCTTCAGACAGAAAAAATATTACAGTCATTCCTTATAACTTAATTTTAAATTCCATTATTAAGGAGAAAATCATGAAAAAACGTCGATGACGTCACGGTCACATGACAAAATTTTGTCTATGAGCTGATAGACAAAAAACTTTCAGCCAATCAGAAGACGTGTTACATCCAAAATTAAATTATTTAGGTTTAAATTGATAATTATCAGATGATGTTGTCTGAATGCACTTTGCGCGTATAAAAAAATCTGGACTGTACAATTATTTATTAGACATCATTTCTATTGTACTGTCAGATATGAATTTGTATATGTAGCATTTTCTACATCATAAACCGATTTGATCTGTCAATGACAATATTCAAATAATTTACAAAATTATCCATTATCCAGTTGAAAATATTTTATGCTTTTCTAAATGATGATAAACGCCTTGTTGTGGCTATGCATCAATTATTTCGACGATTCAGTTATAGCATATAAAATGACTTATCCTGCTTTTTAATTGGCTATAGTTTAATTAACTGAAATCAATGTGCCTATTTAAACTTCATTCTGCCTAAACGACTGATGGAAATGGGCGGCATGTTTCTCAACATACTGTGTTATGGTGCCGTTGTAATAAACCCAATATGCTATGGAATATCTGAAATTAAAAATAAAAAGAAATTTACAATAGAAGCGGGAAAGAGAATTGTTTCAAGTCATTCAACAATTACAACTAGAACAGATTCTTCTGTAGCATGTACCAGCCTTTGTACAAGCGATAAAGATTGTGTCACAGCAAGTTATGATAACTTCACAAAACAATGCATATTGGATTCCGACTGTACCCCATCGACAGAAAAATGGCAAAATGCAGTTCTCATCCGAATAAGTGAGTATGACTGACTACAACTTAACAAAGATGTATGTTTAAAATTGATTAACAGAATACTTTTTTCAATTGAACTTCAAACGTACCTAATCAGCTTGCTCCCTTCATCAGATTTTATTAAATGTTCTTGAAATCCTCATGAGCATTTTTCTCTGGATATCGTAATCAGTCTTTTGTGCAGCTCTTACGTTTTCTGAGCTATAAAGAACAAACGGGACGTCCTTTAATTAATCGTTTCTATTTTCAAGTGATTTGACATGGTTTCGTAGCAATAAATCGCTATAAGCACCAACATTTCTTTTGTCTCAAATTACCACGATTAGGTTTTATTTGAAGTAGCTACAATTTCGCCATTGCATGTCTCTTTGTTTTATTACATCACATCATATGGTATCACCAAATTTACGTAACACATAATCGACACGACGGAGGCCACTATAATGGTGCAGGAACTAATTGTGTTTTCGGAGGACCTGTTTTCTTCGACTGATGCTTTTTGTTGTCCCGACAGATCTTCTTACTTTTCATACCATTGAATTCAGTTTTCACTTTTTTCGCTTAACATAGATTAGTTTTACTCGTCTTATTTTTGATTTTCATTAAAACTGTAACATGTCTTATCTTTTGAATAACAGTAAAACTGTAACATGTCTAATATTTTGAATAACAGCAAAACTGTACATGTCTAATCCTTTCATTTAATTAAACATGAATGTAATACCACTGTAATGTGCATTTTTCAATTGAGGAATATATTCCTTAATTGGTGGTCCTTGTTGATATCCAAATGTTTTTGTCCAACAAGACTTTTGTAGTATCTGTAAACATTCATATCTTGGCTTGATCGGGTTTTAACTCGTTGATAACAATTTTGTCAGTTTTTATGGACTTTTTGCTATACATTTTACTACTATTTCTTTTTTTATTCTAAGCATGTGTTGTTTCTTTTGCAATTTTGTCTCGGGCCAACCCCGAAATAAATCTGTCACTTAATTGTCAAGTAAATCACTGATAAGCAATTTAAAATAAAGAGACCACAAGTAAATCACTGATAGGCAATTTAAAATAAAGAGACGATTGGATCCCTTCCCCACCCCCGCCACAATCATACTAAAGAAAATAAAGATGTTATAGGTAATTGTGGTCTATCCTCAGTCATAATACAAGCACTGATTGTAACTTTGCAGCTGCCATTTAGTACATGTTTTTATCTCTCTACTACTAGACTACATTTCGCCAATATTTCTAATATCAACTCGAAATGCCTTTCCCCTATTCACTCCAAAACGACAAAAACAAATAATAATAAAAAATTATATAAAACAACTGCATGATTTTAGAACAACTAAACTGGTTTTGTTCATTAGAAACTGAAATACTCGTAAAAGTTTGTAGAATGTGCATATTTCAGCTGTGATATTCATTCTTATATAATTATTTTGCCTGAGTGGTCGGTAGGGGTACTTTTCAAAAATGTTTTTAAGAGTAGGGAAAATCCTTCATATATTTATTAAACAAAAATTTTGCATTAAGTCCCTAGAAGACAACCATTTGGAAAAGGCATACATTTTACTTGGTTTCAAAAATACTATTTAAAATTGAGGTTCTTTATTCGCAAGAATTTACTTTTAGATAAAAGCAAATTTGTTTTAAGAAAAGTGTTTTAAACAATGATAAATATCTCTTCTATATTAGAAATGCAAAATAAGCAATTAAAAAATAAATTACTACTTCTTATTGATTTTTTTTCTATTTCAATGGAGAAAACCAGATTAAACTCTTTTTTGTAAAAGTTTTATTTTCAAATTGAAAATATTGGGAAATGTAGTATCATTATATATGCGGATGTCAAATTGTTCAGGGTTAAGCATAATTTGTTTTTCTTGCTAAACGAATTAGATATATTTTGTGATCGAGAAAGTTTTCTTAAAATTATATACTTTGGTTATGCTGAGGAATGATACTGACTTTCCTATTATTACAATTATAAATTTATCACATGCAGTTATTAATTAGGTATGCCATTTAATAACAGTGAAACTTATAAATACGCGGATCTAGAATAGTGGGTTTCTTGGATGAACCCCTTTTCTACAGGAAAAATCGTTGAAAATCACAGTTCTTAACCCCTCCACACTTTTGCAGATGGAACCCACCCTTTTTCCCTTTCTTTTTGATCCGCCAGGATTATTTTTTATAGATTTTGTTGGCCAGTGCATTAATTCTAGTATCTCTAACTAGTTCTCAGTATATTTCAACTGCATCCACAACATGAAAGTGGATTGCAAAAATTGTTCAAAGTGTCCATGCATGATAAAGGTATTCAATTATTTAGATTTCCATGTCATTTTGTAAAGTGACTCAATCAACTAAACTATCCAAATCATTAAATGTTTGCGGGAACGTTACAAGCACTAAAACAGCTGACGTGACCGTCCATTTAGTGTGCGCCCGAGGCTTAGCAAGCCACATCAAGATATGTACACTCTTTGACAGTACTTGCAAAATCGATTTGCTAGAGCAACTCAAACTGCACAGCATGCAATTAACAATCATCAGCGACCAATATGTGCCAATACCATCCACCGTCAACTAGGCAACAATAACATGAGATGTCGTCGTCCAGTCAGGGGTCTTGTCCTGACACCTCGTTACAGTCGAGCTTGTCAATGATTGCTGTGCCAGAACTAGCGCAATGGAGGACCATCATTCTCAGATGGAAACAGATAATGCAATTTAACTGTATCTGGCGGGACACAATTCTAGCGGAAACGCAGCAAATGATATGGGGAAAAATGCACAATGAAATTTGACACACGATGAGGTTCAGAGGATAAAAAGATTTTTTGCAAAAAAAACTATTGTCTTCAAGGTAATGGGTCAAGGAAGAGGAAACTGAGTAACACATGTTCGTAAAATTGACAAAGTTTTTTGTCCAAATGTTTTGCTTAATTTTGTGCGTCACCTTAACCGTACATTCAAGCAAGTATGACAACATTGTCCACACACTTAAGGCTGAATGAAGGACAACCAAGGCCGACAACTTCAGCTAAACTAATTTAAGGACATCTTTCTTTGTTGGCCGCTATTCCAATGTTAGTTGTCTACAGCTTAATCAATTCCATGCACAGGAGATAGATGCTTCTCTTTCATCAACCAACCCGAAGTGCCCGTTATTGTTTTGTATGCAACAGGTTAATGTAATCTGTGATAAATTTGCGCACTGGACATTTCAGAAACATTTTGATTGTATCATAGAATATAATGTGTTTGCTTCGGTTGATGTGAAATTGATTTTTTTTTTTATAAATTTCAGAACTCAAATAAATGTTTGTAATACTCCGGTTTAATGCAAAGTTTCTTTATATATGTATATTATAATGCACATTATTTGCCAAAATGGTCAAAATCGTGAGTGTGATATAATTATCAACCCTTGTCGACAGTCTTCCAATGTCATTCTGCCTAACGCATACTTTTCAAACAGAAAATCTTCTCCAATTCAAACCTCTGAAATACAGTGCAAAAGTTGGTCCGAATCTTTCTAAGGACGGTAGATATTTTCATATGACCCAGCCAATTAATTGACGGACATAGTTGCCGAGACTTTTAAAAATAATAAATAATAGGAGAAAATGCATATTAAAGATTAGGTTTCTTTTGAGGCTTTTGTTATCTTACAGTGACCCCTTTTCAGTATTTGTTCAAATACTTAAGACTGTTGACCATACTGATTACCGTTACTAAAACATGAAATATCTAATACATATTTGAAACATTTTGGTCCAATGTGAAATAAAGAAAACTTACCAACTGCAATAAACATGCAAAACAAGTTTCTGATCAAGGAATTTAAAAAAAAAAGGTAGAGGTAACGGACAATTGTCAGACAATCCGATATTTTAGGCCTAAATATTAATTAATTAATTGATTGAAAAGCTATGTCGTTGTGAAAATCCAATGCAGTTGGTTTTTGAAATGAGGCACTAGAGACTTTTTGCAGCAGAGCTTTGTCTCGGTTAACAATGTTTTCTCGGGGTAACACTCTGCTCTATTACCCTCTCAGCTATGTTATAGTTATTGCCAGTTATGTCCCCAAAGACAACAAGACTACTTGATCATTAATCAGTCACTATTTGTTCAGTTCTTTTCGTGTATTGAAAAAATGCAATGGGCTAAACTTAAAATGCTGATGACAATAAAGTGCAATAGTAAAAAAGGTATAAAGGATACACGAGTATGCTTTCAAATGATACAAATATTAAACTGTTTCTGTTCTTTAATCTTGATAACATGTATATATTGAAAATATTAAAAAACATATTTTTTCACTCAAATTTGCTTTATTATGTGATGATAAAATGTTTAGTAAAGTTTCTTTAATATCGCAGTCTACAATGTAATCATAGGTAATCCAAAGTAATCATGATTACGTTAAAGAAAGGTAATCTAATGTTATCATTTGACTTTGATACTATTATAGACGACGTTGATTTATTTTTAAATAGTCCAGTAACCAAAGAAGAAATTAAAAAGGTGGTTTCGAATTTAAAAAACGTCAAAGCCTCAGGTAGTAATGAAATTTTAAATGTGACGATTTAATGCTTTAGTAAAACTTTTTCTGCCATGTTGAATTACAGGTTAAATAATTATGCAGATCACGTAGACCTGATTTCAAAGTCACAAGCAGGTTTTCGTAGAGGATTCTCTACTGTTGATAATATATTCGTATTGTATTCTTTAATTACCATTTATTTTTCATTTGGTAAGAAGCTAACTTTGATACTATTGCAGACGATGTTGACTTAGTTTTAAATAGTCCAGTAACCAAAGAAGAAACTTAAAAGGTGGTTTCGAATTTAATCAAAGTACTGAAGTACTGAACATCGGATGACCGCAGGTTCTTGTGGATGGTCAAAAGCACATGTCACAGAAACAGATCACATCTCTATACCTGAAACTGAGGTTAATTTACAGAAATTTTTTTTTCTTATACAAGT